TCCTTGACTCTCGCTTCTCAAAATCAGACCCTGTAAGTAAGTGACGTCCACTTTGCCAGCCTCAATTTTGTTCTATTTCTGTTGCTTTGCGAAATTGATTTTCATTTGACCTGTAAGTGATGGTGAAGTGATAGGGAGAAACACAGGTTACCTTGGAGGAGGCAGTACCTGCAGTAAAGCAAGACACCGTAGAAATTACACAACAACAACTTGTATTTACATACTGCTCCGCAATCAGGTTAGCGTCCCAGAGCGCCTGACAGGGGCGGAGCACACGAGGCCAAGCCGGGGGAGGTGATTGTCGGAGCGGTCAAAGAGGAAGGCGTTCAGGCACGACCTGAAGATGGGGAAGAGAGGGGTAAGGCGGAGGGATAGAGGAAGAATGTCCCAGAGCTTTGAGGCATTGTAGCTGAAAGAGCGGCCAGAGTAACTCTCAGAGTAAGCTGTGCTATCTAACTCACTGCCTCGGCCTATCCCCATTCCTGTCCCCATATCACACTTATAATAAACAATAATCCCTGCATCCCGGAACGCTACCCCACATGAAGGGCGCTACATCAATACAACTTGTCATCTCCACAAATGGTTTCTCCTCTAGCCCCCGCACCGTCTCATGTGGCGTTACTCAGGGCTCTGTCCTTGGTCCTCTCCTCTTCAATATCTATATGCTCCCTCTTGCTGATATCATCCACAGACATGGGGTCAACTTCCACATGTATGCGGATGAGACCCAACTCTACCTCTCTGCCTCCAACCTTGACTCCAGGACCACTGCTGTCCTGACAGAATGTCTGTCAGACATCAATGAATGAGAGCTAATTTTCTTCAGTTGAACGTCAACAAGACCGAGGCTCTCTTAATTGGCTCCCGTCAGCGCGTCCTCACCTCAGGCGCTGACAGCATCGCCATCTATGGTTGCACACTCCACCTCGCTAAGCCAGTCTGGAACCTTGGCATCTTGTTTGACCCTCAACTATCCTTTCTACCCCACATCTGCACCATGACCCGCTCTGCCTTCCCTCACCTCTGCACAATCATCCGGCTCACACCGCAGGCCACCGAGACCCTCATACACACATTCATAACATGCAGGCTCAACTTTGCAAACTCCTTGCTTGTCGGCCTCCCCAACACCTCCCCCCACAGGCTGCAGATCATCCAGAACTCTGCAGCCAGTGTCCTCTCCCTCACCAGGCTCCCTGACCCTATCACCCCCATCTTCACCCGACTCCACTGGCTTCCCATCACACAGAGGATACAGTTGGCAGGCAGGCCTTCAGACACCCTGCCCCCAACCTCTGGAACTACATCCCAGTCCCTCGCCCCCTCCATTGCGTTCTTCAAGACCCTCCTCTTCGACCGTGCTTTCGATCACCCTGTTCCCCCCCTGCCATCCACCCTCCCCAATCCGGAACCCCCAGCTCAGGTCTGAAACACTGACCTTGGGATGTCCTCCCAACATAAAAGGCTCTATGCACATGTAATTTTGTTTTTGCATTTGTTATAACGCCTTTCAGTTCAGGAGGACATCTCAAAGCATTTCACTGGACTTTGCAATAAAGTGCAGTGACTGTATTTTGTAGGGAAACACAGGCAAAGCAACATCCCACAAATGGCCATGAAATGAAGGATGAATGCTATTTGGGGGGATTGTTGACCAAGACATCAGGAGAAAATTCCTTCTCTTCCCGATTAGCTCCATGAGATCTTTACTGTTCACCTGAACAGGCCAACAGAAGCACGATTTCACGTCTCATCGAAAGGACGGCTCCTCCAACAAGGCAGCTTATCCCTAGCATCACATTCGAATGTCAGCCTAGACTGCTTGAGTTTAAATGATGTGGGGGCTTGAACCCACAGTCTTCTGACTCAGATGCGAGAGAGCTACTGACTGAGCCAGGCTGATCCCTACACATACACACTTGACGTATATGAGAGGGAAATGGCAATCTGTTGGAAGTACAATACCCAGTTATACTTACTGTCTCCTTTGATGCTTGCTAATTCGAGCAGTAAAGCTTAGCGATGGTCCTGGAGGTAATAAAAGGACCAAAAAAAGGAAAATAATTTTTTATTCCCAACGTTTAATTTTTACAAGCAGCCCAGATTGTGAGATTCAGGACTGAGTTCCAGTCCAAGAGGTAACCTGTTCCACACAGTCAGGAAATTGCTGTTTGACAAAACCAATCATTAAAACGCGGAGATTAAGGTCACATATGTATTAAGAGTCAGTCTGTCTGAGAGAGAGAGGGAGACAAAAACCTTTTCAAACAAAAAAGTTCCTCCAATCGCACCTCCAACAGATGCAAAGGACCAGTCAAGCCTTCCTTGTTGACCTTGGTGTTTGATTGAGTGTGAAGCTATCTTCCCATTCGACACTGGTGTGTTCGCATTGATCAGATGTCCTTTACAGTGAGCGCTGCTCATAGATCCCTTTGATGAGTGTTCATTGCCGGTGACAAATGACAATTCCCTTTCAGTCTCTCAGTCTGGTTGAATGAGGCTCCCACGGCAAAACAGTTGTGGTTCTCTAAGGGCGCCTGACCTCACAGATACAGCAGGCGCGGGCAATTATTTTCTCTCATGTGCTCTACACCCCTTTCCTCTCTCTTTCTCTCTCTCTCTCTCTCTGCAGGACCACTTCTCTTAATGTCCCTCCCCCTAACCACTCTATCTCGCCTCCCTCTCTTTCTGTTTTTAGGAACGTGCCTATGGCCGTCTATCACTCCACCCCACCCTTCTCCTGCTCCACCCCTCCCCCCACCCATTGACGTCCAACCCGTCCCTGTTAAGTACTCCGAGATGTTACTCTATATGAAGGGCACTAATTGCAACCTGTTGTTCTCTGTGTTTACCATCAGCTGAAGCTGTAGTTATTCAGAATTCAGAGCATTTGATCCTCATAGCCTCCAGTTTGCTAACAAAATAGACGGTCACACCACTTTACAGTATATCCTGTCGAACGCTTCGAAACATCTTGATGAAGTGTTAAGGCACTGTATCAAATGCAAGGGTTATTATTATTATTATGATCCTGTGTGGAGGTTGGAAGTACAATGCTTCTACTGCTTACTCAACCTCTTTGGCACCTCATAGACGTATAGTTTATAGTAGGATGTCCAGCTGCACAGTGAAAGTGGGATACAATACAAGAACAGGCTCCGTCTATGACTGAGACAGAGAATGAAACTTCATCCCCTTGGCATACATAGTATACACCCAACCTCTAAAGTACCACCATATTTATTGGTTATTCATTTTGTAGCTGTTTACCTAGATTTACATCGATTTACAAAGAATGTGCAGCATGGAAACGGGTCATTCGGCCAACCAGTCTGTGCAGTGTTGGGGGAGCCTCCAAATGAGTCTCCACCAACTCTTTACACGCTCTTATAAACTCTTCTATTCCCCTCTCCCTCAAGTTAAGGTCCAGTTTCCTCATAAATATATCTACACTATCTGCGTCCACCACCTCTTCAGGCAACGAGTTCCACATTCTCACTACTCTCTGCATGAAGTTCCTCCTAAATTCTCTTTTAGATCCTCTAATCACTACCTCACAGTGTGTCCTCTGTTTACAGAGTCCCCAACAAGTGTGAACAGGCTGTTTGCGGGACCTCACTGGCTCAAATGGCTGCTGTGTTTGCCCACAAAAAAACAGTCACTACATTTGGCAGTGATTGCTCATGAAGCGCTTGGAGAGGGTTCGAGCTGATAAGGACCTGATAAAAATGCAAAGATCTCTTTGTCTTTGCAAACGAGAGACCAGACATCACAGCACACTGCAATTACTGTGAGCCTCACATAAGTCGTATCAGTTGGGGCCATACGTTTAATATGACTGATGCAAAGTATGAGTTATGTCAAACTTGCATAGAATAATGTCAAACTTGCATAGAATATAAAATGTTGAATGGGACGTGGGCAGATAGTAACAGGAGGAGGCCATTCAGTCCCTCGAGCCTGTTCCGCCATTCTATTAGATCGTGGCTGATCTGTACCTCAACCCCAATTACCCGCCTTTGGCCCATATCCCTTGATACCCTGACCTCACAACTTAGGTGATTATACAATTTATACAGATCAGACTTATGCGAGTTTTACTGTACTACCACTTGTTCGTTTAACCCTGACATTTAACAGGAAAAGACTTGGATCGAAAGAGAGAGAAAAACCAAGGCGTGAACACCATCTGAACCTGCTGTGTTTAATACTGTATGTGAGGCGGCTTCTAAGTGACCCTGAATTACACAGAGCTTCCAAAATGAACTGCAACAACTCTGAAACCCGAGGGTGGCGAGAGAGGGAGGAAAGGACAAGAAATGCCCCCCCCCCCAAAAAAAAAACTAAGGAACCATATGCCGGTTTTGATGCATTTTTTTACAAAAGGATTTTAAGAATCGAAGGTTAGATTTGATGACAAGAAATTAATTTACATGAAGTGATTATGGTGTGGCACAAACTTTGAGGGGAGGTAGGAAACAAGGATGTACAAAATTATCTGTTTCAAGCTTGTAGATTTGTTCCCCCTTCCCACCGCCCCCTATAATAGTTTCTGCCACAAAATATACAGTCAATTCATTTTACAGTACTTCTTGTGAAGCGCCTTGAGATGTCTCAACGACGTGATAAGGCGCTGTATTAAATGCAAGGATTATTATTATTATTGATCTTCAATTAAGACGCATAATATGAGGATCTTCATCAAACCTCCGGCACGTGACCATCTCTCACCTCTCTGCTGAGATGAAATTAGTTTTGGATAATAATAAAAAAAGAAATTGCAGGTAAGGGCACGATGGGCCGAATGGCCTCCTTCTGTGCTGTAATATTCTGCAATATTCTATGATAAGTACTATTTTCCCACGAGCTTCATGGCCGTCTCTTCCATAGGGTGTAACAGAGAACATCTTTCAACATCTCGCCTCTCAACATTTATTTTTTTTTTCCGTGGGAGGGAGAGCGAGAGAGAGGGTGGGGTGAGTGGGTGGGTGGGTGGGTGAGGGTGGGGGTGGGGTGTGCGGAGGTGGGTAAAATGGGACGTCTTGATCCAGGCCGGAAGCACGTTACGAGACAGTCTGCTTTGGTTGCCTTGGTTACGGCGCCGCGGAGGCCATCTGCTGTGGGATGAAGGTTTCGACGGTGCTGTGACTGGGTGACAGCAGGTGGCTGTGCGTGTCTGTTGACTGTGTGTTTTGATACATGATCAGACTGCCTGAAGCGACTGTATACAAAGAAGGGGAGGGTGGGAGAGAGGGATCGAGAGATGGAGAGGGAGGGAGAGAGGGAGCGTGAGAGGGAGGGAGAGAGGGAGGGAGAGAGGGAGGGTGAGAGGGAGGGAGAGATGGAGAGGGAGGGAGAGAGGGAGAGTGAGAGGGAGGGAGAGATGGAGAGGGAGGGAGGGTGAGAGGGAGGGTGGGTGAGAGGGAGGGTGAGAGGGAGGAAGAGATGGAGAGGGAGGGAGGGATCGAGGCAGGGAGGGAGGGTGGGAGGAGAGGGATCGAGGGATTGAAGAGGAGTTGGGTGGGAGAGAAAAAGGAGAACTGTCATCACACTGAAACACATTTGAAGCCTTCACCTCATTTAACTTCCAATTCAAATGCCAGCGCCCGTGCTTTCACTACTTCTGTCCACCTTGGCGCTCATGCCAATGCTGAGGGCAACTCACTGCCCCTTGGCTCTCAGAAATGATTGAAAGTGGAGCCTGGTGACAGCATCTGAACCTGTGAAATAATTGTTTTCTCTCTCTCTCTCTCCCTCTCTCAAAAAACACACACAATTTTCCTTCTTATGGCTCACTATAAAAGAACCTTCCGTTTTACGTCGCCCCAAAAAATGCAGTCACTCCACTTTACAGTATATCCTGCGAAGCGCTTTGAGACGTCTCAACGACGTGATAAGTCGCTATATCAAATGCAAGGATTATTATTATTATTATTAAAGCCTAAGTGACGATGGTGGGGCAGGTGGGGTAATGAACGTGAACCTAAGGACCTCTCCACTTGAGGTTTTTTTTTCTTTGCGGATGCAATGTGGACATCAAAGGACTGAGAGCATTTCGCTGTAGGGTATTCTCACCAATGGAAGGAAGGCCTATTGACAGGTAGAGTACATGATTATCAGTAAGTACAGGCACTGACGCTCGCAGCAACCTAAATCACCAGCTCTGTGGCGACACTAGTCTGCGTGTAATACACCCCGTTGTTTTTTCCTTACATGAATGGTGATGGATTTTATTATTAGTGTGTGTTACGCTGCTTATACACGGAGCAAATTTTGACATCCATCTTGCGAGCCCAGTTGCTCCCACCCCTGTCAGCGTTTGGAAAAAAGATTTCCCCTTCTACAAAAGCCTCCCCGTGGTGCGGGCTTTGAACAATCCTGAGCAGGCAGGCGATGGAAATGGCTCCTGACAGCCCTGGCTGCAGATTTGCGTTTGAAGATTAAAGAGAAGTGACAAAGAACATCATCCTCGGGCTCCCAGCCTCTCAGTTGGCTCTGGATGTGGCTGTGGCTGTGCCCCGTGCTCCCCGTGTACTGTGGTGTCCTGTAGCTCAGCGGTTAGAGGGTTCGCCTCGCAAGCGAGAGAACCCGGGTTCGATTCCCGGCCGGGGCGAAACCTAAGCCAAGATTCCTTACTCCACACGCACGCCTCTGTTTACCTACCGGTAAGTAAGAACTTACGATTGGTGGATCGCTTCTCCGGGGGTAATAATCCCTTCAAAAAAAATAATAATGGGTCACTCACTCCACAAACTGTGCGCAATTGGCTGCCGTGTTTCGCCCACAAAATATATCCAGTCAATTCACTTTACAGTCTATTCTGTGAAGAGCTCTGAGACGTCTCGAAGACGTGATGAAGCGCGATATCAAACACAAGGATTATTATTATTATGTTATGTACTGGGCAGCTGTGTTGGTGATGTTGCCAGTCATAAAATGCGCTAAGGGGAACCGTCAGAAGAAACAAAGCCTGAAAAACGCCTGAGTCAGCAATCTCCGGGAGTCGCGTGACTGCAGACGCTTTTGTTCCTGCGTCACTCAACCTAACATGCCTTGTGCCGACAACAGATGAAAGCCTTGGGTAGACGTCAACTCTGTACCTCCTCATCACGTTGCCGTGCACTTTCGAGGCTGTATTGTAATAATTAAGGGCTGCTCTGTTCACATCACAATACCAAACATTTCCCTTAAGAAGGTAACACACCCTCCTCAGTGCGGAGACACAGTGGTCTTTGAACCCTGGCCCACAAGCCACTGGCAATGTATTTTAAACACTAGCCTCTAGGGGGTGCACAAGAGCAAGCCCAATGGCCACTCAATCACCCTTCCTTGTGGGCAACTGTTGCTGTCTTTATCTTGGGCCTGGATTCATGGACACACGCCCAGATATCCAGCGCTCGGTATCTTATCTCTTCATTGGTTTGCTAAGAGCTAAGCAGATGCTGTTGAACCTTCACACTTCCAACTGGTGGAACCATCGCTCAATTGATTGGCCAAAGCCAATGCACGTATTGCTCACCGGAATTTTTCTCCTTACATTTCTTTAAGGAAAGCCCTCTCTCCCCAGGACAGAGGGTTGTGCATTTTGAGGCACAGGCTGACATTCCAGCCGCAGAAGCATAAGGGAAAGTGGGAATCCTAATAATTACTCTTTATATGACCCACGTTATAAGCTGTTAGCGCTATTCCCTTAAGACCTGCCGCATTTTAAATAAGTGAAAGTTTTTGTCGTTTTATTCTTTAACTAAGGTTCCTCATTGTTACATACAGACCAGACCAGATATTTCCTCATTGTAATAATAATAATCCCGGCATTTGATATAGCGCCTTATCATGTCTTCCTGACGTCTCAAAATGCTTCACAGAATGCACTGTAAAGTGAATTGACTGGATATATTGTGTGTGAAAGGCGGCAGCCAATTGCGCACAGAGGCGTCCCACAAACAGTCGTGGATTGAGTGACCAAATTCATTTTTTTTTAAAAAAAAGGGATTATTACCTCCAGAAAAGCGATCTGCTAGGTAAGCAGAGGCGCGTTGAGTAATGAAACTTGCCAAACCTTTCGCCCCGGCCGGGAATCGAACCCGGGTCCCCTCGCTTGTGAGGCGAATGCTGCAACCACTATGCTACAGGACTCCATATCTATGCAGAATGATGAAGTCTCATTTGACCATCTCTCAGGCTCTACCTGTGGTAACAGCTGGACTGGAGGAGACCCTGTGGGTACTCTGGACGTGTTGCAGGGAGCCATCCTGTATCTGTAACGGAGCCTGCTGCACTGACGTGTGGATCTGGCTTTCTGACTGATTTTCTGCATTAGCCAGCAGAACCTGGAATGGAACAAACAGCGGGCGTTAAGAGATACTCTGCTTCATCGCTTATTTTCCAATCACTACCTGCTTCCCTCCGTTGCAGTCAGGGGTGGAAAGATCATTTCGAGATTCCGGCTTACAACAATGATAATAATAATGTTCCTTCCGTTTGATATATTAAAATATTTATATATATATATCTAAATCTTTGTGGGACACTGTTGTGCACATTGTTGTGTTCTGGCTGCTCCGTTTCGCCCACAAAAATCTAGTCAACCCACTTTACAGTATATCCTGGGAAGCGCTTTACAGTATATCCTGGTCAACCCACATTCCCCCCAAAAAATCCCTTCCCCCAAAATAATAATAATTTGGTCACTCAATCCACGACTGTTTGTGGGACAGTGCTGTACGCATTTTGCTGTCGCGTTTCGCTCACTAAATACACAGTCAATCCACTTTACAATATATCCTGTGAAGGGTTTGAGGCGTCTCGACGACATATTTGTAAGTCGCTATATCAATGATGATTATTATAAGAATTATTATTGTTGATAATCCTTACTTTGTACAGCGCCTTGCACGTCGGGAAGATGCCTCAAAGCGCTTCGCAGGATTTACTGTAAAGTGGAGTGACTGTGTGTGTTGTGGGCAACCGTGTCCACAAGATTTCAAGACCGAGCTGAAGAGGAAATGAGCAGCAGAGTACTGAGAAATCTGAGTGCACTTGTGAAATAAAACCAACAAGCAGACAGTATTCCTGAAATACATTGCCGAAAATCCTGACCTTGAGCTGGAAACTGCTTGAAATAGAATAAAAGTCTTTCTGAATGATTATCCTGTGGCTGAGTGTGACTGAATGTGACAATGTTGGCACAGATTAGAGCCTGTGTCTCATGTGCAGACAGCAGAAGCCGAAATCAGTGCCACCCAGTTTCCTCGTTGAACTGTGGAGTTTTCAAATAATTACACCTTTGGAACATGTCATTAAACTTTAAAGGTCAACGTTAACCATTTACGAGTCAAAACAAACTGCAACAAACTGCAGCTTCTCTTCCTACCTTTACTGGAAAATATTTAATTTCAAATCCTTTGAGACGTCAGGGGGATGTCTTAAAGCGGTTCACGGGATTTACTGTAAAGTGTAGTGACTTTGTGCTCTGCAGGCGAATGTGGCAGCCAATTTGCACAAAGTGACATAACCAATTTTATCAGCAGGGTTGTCTCAGTACCTGGGTATTTTAAAATAATTTTTAATTAAATTTTAAATAATTTTTAAAAGCTTTGACACTTCTCAACGTCGTGACAAGGCACTATATCAATTGCATGGATTATTATTATTATAAACTCGATCGTTCACTTGTGGGACATCACTGTGCAAATCGGCTGCCATGTTCACTTGCAAAATACACAGTCACTATACTTTACAGTAAATCCCGTGAAAACGCATTGAGACGTCCTTCTGACATGAAAGGTGCTATACCAAATGCAAGGATTATTATTATTATCAGAACTGTGACTCAACCCAAACTGAAGAAGTATTCACATAACAAGGAGACTTCAGTTCCTCTGACGGTTTAGTTCTCTGACTCAACGAGGAAGTTAGATGGGATAAACCCGCGGGTTACAGTAAAATATATCCATGTGGTGGCAGTAGGGAATATTCATTTATAAGTTGTTAAACACGTGCATTAAACCACTGGATTTATACCCATGAAGAAATGACAAGTTAGGGTAAAGTCTATCCTGTTTAAAGGGACTGAAATAAATAATAAATAACATTTACATTTGACATAGGAACTTTCACATGAGAACACCTCAAAGTGCTTCACAGAATATATGGTAATGTGGAATGCATTTTGCATATGCGTATATAACTGTGTATTTTGCAGGCAAATACAGCAGGTAATTTGCATGCATCGATTCCCCACATAAAGCCATGAAGTGAATGACCCATTATTATTCTATTTGGGGATTGTTGACCAGGATAGTCTAAATGAACAGATAACAGGGCTTTAACAATATACACTTATACATTCGCAGTTTTAATAATAATAATCCTTGCATTTGATACTGCGCCTTATCATGTCATTGAAAGGTCTCAAAGCGCTTCACAGAATATCGTGTAAAGTGAATTGACTGTATATTTTGTGGGCGAAACACAGCAGCCAATGGCACACAGCAGCGTCCCACAAACAGTCGTGGATTGAGTGACCAAATTTTTTTTTTGGGGGTGGGAGGAGGGGATTAATACACCCGGAAAAATAATCCGCCAATCGGGTTATCGTCTGGGAATTAAATAATTTGTCAGTGGAATAAGATAAAATTCTGTAGTAAAGCATTTTCTGATGGGGTGGGGGGGGTTGGTGGTGGTGGCGGGTGGGGGGGTGAGGGAGGAGAGGAGAGGGAAGGGGAAGGAGGTCTTGCATCCGAAGCAATATACTGTACTACTGTAGGTGATGCTTCGGGTCACAAATGCTGTGTTACTGAGTGGATGCGATGCAGTAGCTTTGGCTGCAGTTAAATGCCTTCGGAATTGATGAGGTGACCGTGAGCATCTGTTCGGTGGAGCGTACTCCAGTGGAGACTTGACTTGGAGCCATTCATCACCCACCGAATTTCAGCTCAGTCCCTGGGCAAGGCTATGAGTCTATTTTTTTGTATGCTGTTTAGCCGCCGACAGCTGGCAAAAATCCCTCGGGAAATGTGACTCGAATTCGGCTAAGTTTATCGGCCTTTATCGGTGTTACTTCGCTGCTACAGGCCGCAGGGAGGACGGGTGATTTCTCTGTATAATTTTTCACCCATCAGGGACGCCTCTGGTCATGGCTTGCAGGAGACTCTTTTAGTACATTCAGCGCAGTGTGTGAAAGCTAACAGGACACGGGCGTGTAATTAATGCTCTGAAACAAGGCAATTTACCAGGAGCTCAAAATCTATAGATAATTATTCCCAAACTTTCTTTTTTTGGTGCCAGCTCCGATATTTTCCAACAACAACGACAACAAATTACATTCGCACAGCGCCTTTCACGTCGGGAGGACTTCCCAAGGCGCTGGACAGTCTAGGATTTGGGACCCGAGCTGGGGGTTGGGATCAGGAACGGTAGAGGCCAAAGGAGTGTAGGGGTAGGAAGGTGACCAAAGGTGCGGTCGAAGAGGGGGGTCTTGAGATGAACCTTGAAGGAGGCAAGGGAGGGAGTGAGGTGAAAGGACTGTGGAATGGAGTTCCAAAGGGTGGGGGCAGAGAGACTAAAGGCCTGACTGCCGATGGTGGAATGGACCAGGTTGGGTTCATGGAGTAGGCCAGAGCCTGCTGAGCGGAGGGAGCAGATATGTCTATATGGACCCTCCGCTCCATAAACCTTCTCCCTCTTGTCCAATACCCCAGCAATATGATTATTTTGTTTCGCCCACAGAATATACAGTTATTTCACTGTACGGTATAATCTGTAAAGTGCTTCGAGACATCTCAACGACGTGATAAGGTGCTGTATCAAATGGCAGGATCATTATTATTATAATACGGCAGTAAGGATCGCAGAGTCTGACACCTGGAGAGTGTCCGTGTTCAAAAGAAAGATACGTTTTAATTTTCAAAGAGAGGGAGCTGCCGTAAATAAAGTTTATGGGCTGCGGTTACCTGTTTGGCCATGGGCAGGCTGGCCAATGTGCTAATGTTGCTGGCATCAGTGAAGACCATTGTCTGAGGGAACAGGCTGGTGTGGTACTGGGACAGGTCTGGCTTGTGACTGTAGACAGCTGTGCGGAAAGAAAGACCTTTTAGATAAAACAGTTGCACTGGTATTGCAGAGGGTACTTTACTCTCCAACTCATCTCCTGTAGACTCACGTCCTGAAGTCGTGTAGCGTAGTGGCTAAACACTAAGCCCTCGCCTCGCAACCAAGAGGACCCGGGTTTGATTTCCGGGCGGGGCAAAACCCCAGGCGAGTTTCCTTATTCCACACGCCTCTGTTTACCCAGCAGTAAGTAGGAACCCGGTTGCTAGTCACTCAATCCACGACTGTTTGTGGGTCGCTGCTGTGTGCAATTGGCTGTCACGTTTCACCCACAAAATACACAGTTAATTCACTTTACGGTATAGCCTGCGGAACGATTTGAGACGTCTCGAAGACGTGATAAGGCGCTTTATCAAATGCAAGGATTAATATTATTATAACAACACTGAAGGGGGAATGAAAGATCAACCCATCACCAGCCGGAAGCAAGCTAAACAGCCTGTAGTGTGGTTTGACCTTTCGCCAGACAAGGAGTAGACTGTGCTACCTGCAGGCACTAAAACCCAGCAATGGTGAGGCTCCCACTGGCCAGAAGGAACTGCATCATGTGATGAATAATGAACTGTAATCGTTTCTGTTTGGCTGAACAACGCATTGATTAGCAATTAGGAAGGGCAGGAGTACGTGTTATTAATCGGGTGCTAAAGTGTGCAGTCTGTTCAGATCGCAAACCTACAGGCGCAGGAAGAAAAGCACTCGGGCATATTGCCACGGAAAGAAGGGGGCTTCGAGCAAAGGCAGGGATTGCGTTATTAAATTAAAATTAATATCCACGGAACACTATACACAGGGCCGGAGGCAAAAACAGTTCCAAAAGGAGATTCTATGTGTCCCTTATCAGCAGCTGTCACATCTAACAAGGCTCAGATGGATAGAAATAGTCTTAAATACAAACCTGACTTAAATGCAAGTACAGTTAAGCAATGAGTCATTAATACCACCCTCATCTGATCTTAAAATGACTAGCAAAATGATTCCCAAGAAGGGAAGGGAATGTAGCAATAAGATTGGTTCCCTTTTTGATTTTGGAACCACAACAATCATTTAAATGAAAGCTAAAAATCCTCAACATATAAAAGCCTTTTATAATAATAATAATAATAATTCTTACATTTGATATAGCGCTTTATCACTTCGTCTAAACACCTCAAAGCGCTTTGCAGGATGTACTGTATAGTGCAGTGACTGTTTACAGTATTTTGGTGGAGAAATGTGGCAGCCAGTTTTGCACAGCAATGTCCCGCGAACAGTCATGGAGTGAGTGACCGATTTTATTTGGGGGGATTGTCGGCCAGGACACCAGGAGAGAGAAACTCCCTTCTCTTTTCGAACAATGCCATGGGATCTATAACGTCCACCTGAACAGGCAGACGGGACCTCGGTTTAACCTCTCAGCCAAACGACAGGGTTTTGCGATGAGGCAGCAAGTGTATGCAGAATCACAGCAAAACCAACAAATCTGTATTTTCAGATCTCCAAAGCTAGTGCATTTGTTTTGGAGGGATTATTAACCCCCGGAAAGCGATCCACCAATCGATTGACAACTGGGTTCCTACTTAATGCGAGGTAAACAGAGGCGTGTGAAGTAAGGAAACTTGCCTAAGGTTTCATCCCTCCCGGGAATCGAACCCGGGTCCTCTCGCTTGCGAGGCGAGTGCTCTAACCACTACACTGTGGGATTCCAATGTGTGAGTAGGTGAAATCGAACATATAAAGCAAGTGAATTAATGAAATCTTGCAATGGCCTGATGACAGCTCTTCAGTGCACAAACTAATAGCATCGTAATTCCCCTCTACCTCCCCCCACTCCCAGGAGACTTCAATGTCTACTTTGGAAATCTTTGAATAAATAACCACAGCATTATTAAAAGCTAACAATGGAAGCAGTTTGCTTAGAAGTGAGGAGTCTGGCGGGTCTGTCTGAGTCAGTCAGTCCCTTGTCTACTTTGCTGACTTTCCCAATGATCACACACCACAGTGAAAGACAGCGTTAACTCAAGGTTAAGAAGACGGTAATAAGCAATCTAAAAGGATTTATTCCGGCTACCAGCCGCCCACTCTTCCTAAACTTCTTTACAAACCAATTGTTTTGGATCTCCAGTTTGGGGGCTTGATCTTGAAAAATGAGATTTCTATCAAATAATGACTAGTACATTCAGAGATAGGAGAGGTACAGCCCAGACAACGTAACTCAGGCCAGGTGTTGTTGCTTGATGACAACACCTTACAAATTGTCACCTACAAGTTTTGCCTACAAATGCGCAGTCACTCCACTTCACAGACGCCCCCAAAACTCTGGAACGCTCAATCCCTCAACCTTGTCGTCTCATTCCCCATCTTCAGGGCACCCCTAAAGATTTTCCTCCTCAACCATGCTTATAGTCACCTCCCCCTCTCTCCCCGGCTCCACCACTGTCAAGCGCTCTGGGACGCTACCCTGTGCGAGGGGTGCTACATAAATGCAAGTTGTTCTAAAAATCCCGCGAAGCACTTTGAGACGTCCTCCTGACATGAAACCCAACGATTATTATGATTATTATTTTAATAACAGCAGTGACTTAGGCTAATCGGAAATCGCTACTCTTTTGATTTAAACGCCAGCGAATTCAGATTTCAAGTAAAGGGCATCACTGACAAATCGTTTAAATCTGGAATGAAACCCTTTGGATTTGGGTTAGCCACTTTGTGGCACCCTCAAAGCGATTCACAGAATATACCGTAAAGTGAATTGACTGTATATTTTGTGGACGAAAAGTGGCAGCCAATTGCGCACAGCATCCCACAAACAGTCGTGGATTGAGTGACCTAATTATTATTATTATTATTATTATTATTATTACCCCTGGAAAAGCAATTTGCCAATCGACTAACAACCGGGTTCCTACTTACTGTTAGGTAAACTGGCGTGTGGAGTAAGGAAACTTGCCTAAGGTTTTGCCCTGCCCGCCCGGAATCGAACCCGGATCCTCTCGCTTGCAAGGCGAGTGCGATAACCACATCACTACAGGACTGGGTATTTCAAAGCAAGGCAGTGGTTGGGGTAACAACCAGACTCAACACTCCTGGGTTAGTGAGAGGAATAAATCAGTCAGCTACCATTCACTCTGCAACCCAACCCCTGCTGGACTGTGTTGATGTGTAGACATCAAATGAAGAGAGATTCTGTTCCTGTCCACTCCACACACATACTCTTCCGTAAATCGAATAACCTGCTATAACATGCGTGAGATTTATTTACCGTGACAAGTATTTCTTCCTCCAAATAGTGAGTGCCTCACGGCAACACTTTACAGTGCGTTTTAAAACCTTTTTTTAAAACCAAATTATGAATCCTATAAAAGCTTGTGATCAGTGAATCGTACAATAATAATATTAATCCTCGCTTTTGATACAGCGCCTTTCACATCGAGAGGAAGTTTCCAAGCACTTCACGGGATTTACTACTTTGGAGGCGAACTTGGCAGCCAATTTGCACACAACAATTTTCCACAAACAGCCATGAAGTGAATGACCAATTTCTTTTAATCTGTTGGCCAGGACACAGGGAGAAACTTCCTTCTCTTTTCGACTAAGGTTATGGCATCTTTAATGTCCACTTGAGCAGGCAGACAGGATGTCTTCATTTGGGTGAGGCATTAAACAGAGGTCATGTTTGTCTGTTCAGATGGACGTTAAAGGCCCCCATGGCATTTCTCTCTCTCTCACTACAGTCCTGGCCAACAAACCCTCAGATAAAATTGATCATTCACTCCATGACAATTTGTGGGCCGTCGTTGGGCACATGTTGTGTTTGCCTACAACACACAGTCACTACACTTCACGGTATGAGGAAGTTTGAGCCGTCCTCCTGAAATCAAAGGCGCTATATCAAAGGTGTTATTGATTGATTACGGTATTATTATAATAATAATAATCCTTGCATTTGATATAGCGCTTTTCACGTCGGGAGGACGTCCCAAAGCGCTTCACAGAATATACTGTAAAGTGAATTGACTGTATGTTTGTGGGCGAACGCGGCAGCCAATTGCGCACAGCAATGTCCCACAAACAGTCGTAGATTGAAAATGACCAATTTATCATTGTTTTTGGTTTGGGAGGGATTATTATTAGGCTCTGTGTGGAGTAAGGAAACTTGCCCAAGGTTTCGCCCTCTGCCTGGAATTGAACTCAGGTCTCTCGCTCGCAAAGCGAGTGCTCTAACCACTGAGCTACAGGACTCCACAGGACCGAGTTGTGTCAATTCTCGGGCAAGCCACTAGGTGGAGCATGACGTCAACTATTTTGGAGAGATGGGGTGGCGTTGGGGGGTCAGCCGGGTGTCTGACAGTGCAGAAACTCATCACCGCGTTTACGAATCTCCAAACCCAACTGGGAATGCCACGCATCCCACCGACACATGGAAATCCCAGAGATAGAGTGTTGGAATGGAATGCGCTCTCTCTCTCTCTCTCTCTCTCCCTGGAGGACGCCGCCTGCTTACCTAATTCTGGAAAGGATTAGGCACAGATTGGTAAGAGCCAAGGCTTGGGGGGGGGGGAACCCAGAGTGGGCGTTGGGGGTAACTGCTGGAGTCTAACCAGCTAAAACCGCACAGCTTGGCTTGCCATTGACATCGCTGTGCGGTGAGCTTTTCTGCCGCTTGTCCAGGAAAGGCACTATATGTCAAACAGCAGTGAGCGCCACAGCACGAAAAGGCCCACAGGCCCTGAGTGGCCATCCGCTATTCCCAGATGCCTGGGAGCCGAGAGGGACGGGGGAGCAACAGCTGGGATGCGAATAAGCGGATGAAAAGCTTTTGTTTCAAGAGCTTTTTGATGGTCCCGACTGATAACGATACGACATGCGGGTTTTACGGTGTAAGGGATACAAATCAAAACGCACGTTCGTTCTTTGAAACAGCCGAACCCGGTTATAATAATAATAATAATCCTTGCATTTGATACAGCGTCTTAATCATGTCTTCGAGACGTCTCAAAGCTCTTCACAGAATATGCTGTAAAGTGAATTGACTGTATATTTGGTGGGTGAAAATAGCCCCCAACCTGACTTCCCCCCAACCCCACCCCACCCCCCTTCCCATCCGAGCAGCCTCGCGGGACCCCCTGGGTGGTGAGTGAGGGTCTCACCGTGCGGGTTCTGAAACTGAGCCATGGTCGCCATGAACGAACTCGGAGTCATATGACCCTGGACCTGTTGCATGACCTGCTGGTGAGGAGCGTGAAGCTGCTGCGGGAACTGGACGGGCTGTAAGGTGGTCAGGCTGCTGCCCATGCTGTTGATCACCGGCACGTTCTGGCCTTGCGTCGTAGCCAGACCTGAGAGAGAAGCCGCCGAAGGCACAAAAACAAAACAAAAGGAAAAACACATGAGCAAATGTTCTCCACTCGAGACTTTCCATCAAAGGAAACGCAACGCAAAGCCGTCGTTCGACACCTCGCAACAACCCTCGCTCGCATTCGGTCTAGCGCCTCGTCAGACATCTCAAGGGGCTTCGCAGGATACGGCGAGAGGAACCAGGTCGGATTCCCGGGCTGGGAAAAACCTTAGGTAAGTTTCCTTACTCCACATGCCTCTGTTTACTTCGCAGTAAGTAGGAACCCGGTCATTACTCGATTGGCGGATCGCTTTCCAGGGGGTAATAATCCCTCCTGTTTGTGGGACGCTGCGGTGCTCACCTGGCTGCCGGTGTTTCGCCCACAAAACATACAGTCACTCCACTTTACAGTATATTCTGTGAAGCGCTTTGAGACGTTCCCACAATGTGATAAGGCGCTGTGTTAAACGCAAGGATTATTATTATGATTATAATAACACTGGCCTCACTGAGCTCGCGAGGCTGAACTGTTCTCATTACACGTGCCTGAGCATCTGTTCCCCAAAGCTGTGGAGCGCCCAATTTCTTCCATTGCACAGTGGGGGCCTCCTGGGTTCCACTGGATAAGACAAGCCCTCCTGCTCTCTCATGCACTAATCCAGATCATTAACGTTTCAGCTCAAACAAACCCGAGAGAACTCGAGTGGCAATGAGTGACCGAGATAAAGCCTCTGGTCTGCAGAACCACTGCAATGTATACCACCTGTCAGGGACGCAGTTCCAAAACCTTGATGCCTCTGCTTTCTTCTCAGTCAGAGAGAAATTTATTAGGATAATAATAAATAATAATAATAATCCTTGTATTTGATATGACGCCTTGTCACTTCGTTGAGGCGTCTCAAAGCGCTTCACAGAATATACTGTAAAGTGGAGTGAGTGTGTGTTTTGTGGGCGAAACGCAGCAGCCAATTGCGCACAGCGGCGTCTCCACAAACAGTCATGGATTGAGTGGGCAAAAAATGTTTTTGTTTACTTTTTTGAAGGTGTTATTATCCCCTGCAAAGCGATCCGCCAATCGAGCAACAACCGGGTTCCTACTCACTGCTAGGTAAACAGAGGCGTGTGGAGCAAGGAAACTTCCCTAAGGTTTCTCCCTGCCCGGGAATCGAACCCGGATCCTCTCGCACGCGAGGCGGGCGCTCTAACCACTACGCCACAGGACCCCATATTAGAGCAGACACCAATGCATTAGCAGCAATCATCTGCTAACGAGCTTGTCTTAACGATTCGCTCGTGACCAAACACTTGGTCACTTACCGATCACTAGTGCAGAAGCTCCCGCGTTGGTAAGGTTCTGCCCCAGTGTGGAGGACTCACTTGGCCCGATCGCCATGACACTGGGTAAGGAAGCCATGATGAGGTTTTGCGTCTGTTGAGTGATGGCCTGCGGGTTATGCTGTAAGCTGTGGAGAGCAGTCAGGGTGCTGACAGGGGGTAGCGTGCCTCCTGTGGTAGAGATCTGTGAAGAACATACACCGTGAAGGAGACGTAGTTTGATTGATATCCCACAAACCCAATGATTAATTTGGTCACTTCAATCCACAACTGTTTGTGGGACACTGCTGTGCGCAATTGTCTGCCGTGTTTACCGTATACTGTAAAGTGAATATACTGTAAAGTCAATTGACTGCTTGTAGGATACTGCTGTGCGCAATTGTCCCACACAGAAAACAGTGTCCTACAAACTGTCATAGACTGAGTTACCAAATTATTATTATTTTAAAAATTTCTCTTGAAGGTATTATTACCCTGGAAAGCGATCCGCTAATCGGCTAACATCCGGGTTCCTACTTGCTGCTGGGTAAATAGAGGTGTGTGGAGTACAGAAATTGCCTGAGGTTTCGCCCTACCTGGGAATCGAACTCAAGTCCATAGACTGTATGCTCTAAGTCCCAATGTGGGGCTTGAACCCACAACCATCTGACCGAGAGGCGAGAGTGCAACCAACTGAACCAGACTTACACACAAAGCAGGTGTGGTGGTGGGGGGGGGATGGGGGGAGCTAATAGGCAAATCATGCCGGATGTAATATTAAGAACAACAAGGTTTTATTTTAATGGAGCTTGTCACAAAGTTTAAATTTAAATAGGCGATGAAGGAAAACAGCTTTCTACTTAACCTAATAGGTCTTTTATTTTAGGAGATAAGTTTCATGATGTGTAAAAGCAATTGATGAAAGCCTTGCAGTCAATGAATCAAATAATATTAGAAAAATGCTTTCAAAGCATTTTCACTCAGGCACGGCAATTGCCCACACGCCCTGGGAGATAGCTGCTCAACAGGAATTGTTCTGCCCTAATGAAAGCTCTCCTGGGTAATTGGTGGTTTATGATTCCACCGTGTTCTCCTGCTTTGTGTACTCTGCGTTTCCAGGGCACTGCTGATGACAGCACAGCCCAGCCTGGCTCATCGGCAGGATCAGGAAGGGCAGGCCAGTCATTGGGGGCAGGGAGTCATCCAACTCAGCTCCAGTTAACACTGCAAGCCAAAGCCCTAATGGGCCAAATGGCCTGATTCAATGTGCTGAGGTTCTGTGTCGTTCTATGTAAAAACCTTTGTGCCTGTTCATATCAGAGGATGTACTTATCGGAATAATAATAATCCTTGCATTTGATATCGTGCCTTATCACGTTGTTGACGTCTCAAAGCGCTTCACAGAATACATTGTAAAGCGAATTGACTATATATTTTGAGGGCAAAATGTAGCAGCCAATTGCACACAGCAGTGTCCCACAAACAGTCTTGGATTGAGTGACCACATTATTATATTATTTATTTTGAAGGGATTATTACCCAGGAAAGCATTCCTCCAATCGACTAACAACCGTGTTTCTGCTAGGTAAACAGAGACGTGTGGAGTAAGCGATGGTTTCGCCCTGTCTGGGAATCGAACCCGGGTCTTCTCGCTTGCAAGGCAAGTCCTTAACCACTACGCTACAGGACCCCACTGTACGACTTCCTCAGTCTGGTTGCCTTTAATTTTCTCTTTAAAAAAGAAAACTAAGTTGCATATTGTGCGCAGCTAAGAGGGGGAATCACATTCATGCTGTCCGTGTTTCTGTTACCGATATTACGATTGCTATTGCTAGAATATTGGTAATTCTGTAAGCCTATAAAATCAGTCAGTCCAAAGAGACTGGTATTTCCCTGGAGCTTCCAGTAGTCAAAGTGAACAGCAAGAGTTGGCATTTTGTACATGCTCCTGTATGTCTCTATTGTTGAGTTCATTCAGTGACATAGGAAGGACGAACACTATGTCAAACAGTATAAAGGCATCATGAGTCACAGTGACAAAAGATCTTAATTGTAAGGATTCGAAGAAGGCATTGCCACCTATTGTATTATGCAAGGAGCAGTTTAACCCCGGATAATTCATAGCCTGGTAGACCTTGAGTGAAGGCATTTGATACAGAGCCTTATCAGGTTATTAACATTTGATCGGAAGCACGGCACCTCCGACAGTGGAGCGTTGCTTGCAGCACCTCAGTATCGGGCTAGGTGAGCTCAAAGACGGTGGGAGGCTTGAAGCCTGAACGTCCTGATGCCGAGAGCGCTAGCAAATGATAATAATAATGGTAATAATAATCCTTGCGTTTGCCACAGCGCCTTATCGCCTCCTTGAGACGTCTCAAAGCACTTCACAGAATATACCGTAAAACGAATTGATGGTGTATTTCGCGGGCGAAACGCAGCAACCAATTGCGCACAGCAAACGACCCCAGGCTGACATTTGGAACATGCGTTGGATTCAGCTGTCCTCATTCCTTCATTCAAATAGCTGATCGTCTGAGAGCATCTTTTACGTGATGCCTTGTAATTGCCTCTACCAACGGCACCTTTGTGCTGGGCTCACACTGAGCTTCACACTGTTCTGTGAGTGAGTCAAGCGGATGCGATTGTCTTGCAATTGAGTCTGGTTGAAGGGAAGCGTTTACTAATAGAAACTGGGTGAGGAGACCGTTTGCATGTGCCGCCTCTTGTAATACCTGAGCTATTTGTGCAGGTACGTTTCTAAAGGATCAGGGTGTCTTTCAGAGGTTGCTGTGGTCACACTGAGGAGCTTTGAAGCAATCTCGCCTCCTGAACGCACTGTTCTTGAAGGTGACCTGGTTACCTGCTGCAATTGCACACCGTTACACCCTTTGCAACAATGCAGTGCTTTGCAATACTTTTATTTTTCCCATTTATTTAACTTCTGTTGGAAGTAGGGAACAGTTCCTGTGTGGCCCTCGTGACTTCACAGTCTAGGCTGACACTTCAGTCCAGCAACATCCTCACTTTGTGGGACTTTGCTGTCTGCGAATTGTTAAAGCCAGAATGAGGAGTTGGTTGGGGGAGCCAAGAAAGATGGCTTCCGTCTTATCCGTGTTGATTCATTACAGACGAGCCACGGTCCTAGTCATATTGCTTCCGAGAAAGAGCGAGATTGGATCTTTGGATCTTCTCTATGTCTATTCAATTCAATCTCTATCTTGAATCTCGGTTGGAGAAAAGCGTTTGAAAAAAAAGATTAGTTCATTCAAATGCTCTCTTCGGTGGATTAAATGTCGGTTTCCAAATTATGATTTTCTTTGTCGCTGCTGGCTTCTCCTCAGATCTTATGGTAATCACTGCTCCTTTTCTCCTCGGCCTCCTTTCTCAGAGCTTTGCACATAAAAAATTAATGCCACTGGAACGCTGGTAGCAAATAAGCAAACGAAGATAGCATTAAGAAGACTTGGACGCCTTCATGGAGCTTTGGAAACTGTTCAAGGGCTTGATAAGTTCTGTTCAGAACCTTAATGAACTCGTTACATAAAGGTTTTCAACTACCTTTATTCCAGACTTCAAATGATTATTTAGAATCCATTTATTCCTACGGATTGCTATTTTCTCCTCAGATTTTTTCAATCCCCTTTTATCGGGTGCTAACTGCCACACAAGTAGTGAGGGGCAGCCCCGATGGTAGGGTTGGTCCAAGTGGTGGCCCGCGGGCCGGATTCGGCCCCCCCCACCCCCTCCTCCCTTCCTCCATCTCTTCTGGCCCACCCGCTCCCCCCATAACCCGTAAATGTTATGTTGTGTTATGCTTCTGTGGGCGTTTTGAACCTCCCTGGGCAGTGGATAGAGTTGTAGCTTACAGGCCAGGAGCTCACCGGTTCGAATCCCTGGTCCGTGATGTCTCATGCGGTGTTGCAAGTGAATCTGAAATAGGTCCTGGAATGTCAACTATGATCAGGATCAAAGCTTGTTCCTGTTTATGACGTGCGACCTTTCTTAACCATGCTCCATGCCCATCAAGCACTGTGGGACTCCACCCTGCTTGTGAGGGATACTACATAAAGCTTTTGTTCTTGTTAACTGGATTCAGAACCACAGACGTTTCCTTGACCCACTTCCCCGTTAGCGCAACTCGAAATTCTTATTAAAGGTCCCAGTTTGGAAAGTGGCCCTCCCCCACTCCCTCCACCACCAAAAGTGTTGCATGTTATCTTGGCTCATCGCCGAATTTACAGGAACAATTCTAAAAGGCCTGGAATGCACATAGGAACTACAGCCAGGACTGAAAGGAAAATGACTCACAGACAGGCCTGTTTCCTGCCCCCCTGGTTGGTGCAGGAAGTGCAGTGGTGGGTGACGGCAGATCTAACAGAGGAGAAATGAGGGGTTGAAAATCATATTTTTCTTATTGTCGTTAAGCCAGCGCCCGCAACAAAACAAGTTCACCTGTGAGGATGGTGTTTGCGAAGAGTTATAATAATACAATAATCCCTGGGTTGATAGAGTGCCTTATTTCGTCGTCGAGACGTCTCAAAGCGCTTCAGGAAATATACTGTAAAGTGAATTGACTGTGTATTTATGGGCGAGACATGGCAGCCGAATGCGCACAGCAATGCCCCAGTGGATTTAGTGAAGAAATTATTTTTTTCAAAAGGGATTATTACCCCCAGAGAGCGATCCGCCAATCGACTAACAACCGGGTTCCTACTCACTGCTAGTTAAACGGAGGCGTGTGGAGTAAGGAAACTTGCCTAAGGTTTCGACCTGCCTGGGAATCGAACCTGTGTCCTCTCGCTTGCGAGGCGAGAGCTCTTACCACTACGCTTACACAATTAATGCTGGGTAGATGGGATTTGGGTGGTTAACGCCAGTGTGTGACAGTCGCCGATATTCACGTTATTACTCTGTAGTTAATAATAATCCTTGCACTTGATATCGCGCCGTATCACGCCTTCGAGACGTCTCAAAGCGCTTCACAGGATATCCTGTAAAGCGAATCGATGGTACGTTTTGTGGGCGAAACGCGGCAGCCAATTGCGCACAGCAGCGTCCCACAAACAGTCGTGGATTGAGTGACCAAATTATCATTATGATTATTTATTTTAAGGAATTTTTTTATTTCATTGGAAACGGTCGCCGATCTGGTCGAGCGAGACCCTCCCGCACCCTACACACACGCACACACGCACCCACCCCCACCCCCCCACCCAGCTCTTGCCGTGCTACTCACCAGCTTCGTGTCGGTCGTCAGCAAACTGTGGCTCGGCTCCAGGCCGGGTGGGGAGACCGGCTGTAGGATGGTGTGGGTTGTCACCATGGTGCTGTTGCCGTGGTGACTGACGGCGGGAGACACCACCTCGTTGGTGGCTTGCTGGGTGTATCTCAACCCTGTCACACGGGAAGAGAAGCAAGGAGCAATCACAAGGTCACAAGAGAGATTCGGGTGCAGAAGGCGCATTTGTGGAGTTAGAGCCCTCGCCTCGCAAGCGAGGGGACCCCGGGTTCGATTCCCGGGCAGGGCGAAACCTTAGGCAAGTCTCCTTCTTGCACACGGCTCTGTTTACCTCGCAGGACGTAGAAACCAGGTTGTTATACAAATGTGATTTTGTCGTCGTCGTTGGTTAGTTAGTGAGTTAGTCAATTGGCGGATCGCTTTTCCGTGGGTAATAATCCCCCTCCCGGAAAATAACGATTTGGTCACTCGATCCACGGCTGTTTGCGGGGACGCTGCTGTGCGCAATTGGCTGCCGCGTTTCGCCCACAAAATGCACAGTCAGTTCACGTTACAGTATATTCTGTGAAGCGCTTTGAGCCGCCTCGACCATGTGACATGTCAAGGCGCTATATCGAATGCAAGGATTATTCAAATCACACCTGAAGACTTTCCTCGTCAACCTTGCCTTTCTGCCCAGCTCAGTGTCAAACTCAGCCACTGTTCAGCGCTCACGTGGATGCTTTCTGCTTCCACGCTCTCACACCCACACAGCAGCGTCAAGAAGCTCCGTCTTCTAAACTCCTCGTTAGATCCTTGAGCCAAAGGGAGCAGGCACACAAAGCTCTCAGCCTCTCCCGTTTAACTTGTTTTATTTGCCCTTTTTTCTCAGATCCTATTTCAGTCTTCCAATTTTCCCTTTGTTCTCTCTGGGATAATCTTCTCTTGACACGATTCTTCGCACGTCTTCGCTCTTTCACCCCTTTTATAATCTCTCTGATTGAGTGAGTCTTCAGAAGGCTCGATCCATCAGCACCGCCAATTCTCCCTCATAACTATTTGACACCTTACCAGTCCAGCACATCCTTTCTGTTCCTCAGTCTCTCAACACCTCTCTCTTTTTCATCACGCTAATTCAGGCTTCTCCAATCCATTTCCCTGACACCACCTTTCACCCTCTCGAGTTAAATAATGATCAGACAATCGATCTCTTCACGTTTCCTGGCCTGAGCTCACTTATCGTTAGGTTTTAAACCTCCCTCTCCACTCAGAATCCTTTTGTTGTTTCGACGTCTGAAGAGTGCACTTTGTTCAGCATCTTGCCTTTCCACATCTTAGACAATAGCCTTTTTCTCTTCTCTAATTATCTTCCTCGACACATCCCCAATGATTTTCTGTGTAGGCCTGGCTCAGTTAGTAGCGCTTACTAGTGGAGTCCTACAGCTTAGTGGTTAGAGCACTCGACTCACAAGCGAGGAGTGAGTGAGTGAGTGACCAATTCAATTTTATTTTACTTGGGGGATTGTTGGCCAGGACTCCAGGAGAACTTCTCTTTTAGAATAGCGCCATGGGATCTTTAACATCCACCTGGACTAGACAGATGGAACCTCGGTTTAACATCTAATCTGAAGGACGGCGCCTCTGACAATTTCCACTGCATCATCTAAATATCTGAGCGTGTGATTGAAATGAGATCAGCCGTTTTGCAGGTTTTGGCCCTGATATTGCTCTGAAATTGAATTGTAATCCCACATGGCGTCACCATCCACTGAATACCGTGCTCCGTGTCAGGAGATGGGATAATTTTTTTTGCCCAAGGAATCGATAAACATTGTCGGATTTAGGACTAATTAAAGGGCAGAATGAGACTGCAAGTGCCGAGAGAGAGAGAGAGAGAGAAGAAAGAGAGAGAGAGAGGAACAGATGCTGGGTGAATTTAGAGGGTCGTTTTCCATTGTCAATAGCAGGATTGAACACAGCCTCCAGGGAGTGAGGAATGAGCCAGTCAGGAAGAGATGGAAACTGTGACGAAAGCCTCATGCACAATCTCTGTTGCCGTAACCTCCACTTCATTCAATCATCAAATGATTAACAGGGAAGTGAATAGAGTGATGGGACTGAGCAGAGGAAAAAGATTGATTTCCCACCCCACCTCTCCCTGCAAACTCCCACCAATCCACCTTGGGTCTCCATCCATAAGGTAACAAACAATAAGCAAGGCTCCAAGAAACTTTTGTGTCCAAAATAAAAAGAAATAAAATAAAAATTATTTTTAAATTAAAAAAAAGACCTTTCGTTTATTCAGATCATATGCTGGATAAGATGATATTCTGTCATTCTAACACCTGCTGCCTTTTCTTTAATCCTTGCATTTGATATTGCACCTTGTCACATCGTTGAGACGTCTCAAAGCGCTTCACAGAATATATTGTTAAGTGGATTGACTGTGGATTTTGTGGGTGCAACATGGCAGCCAATTAGACACAGCAGAGTCCCACAAACAGACGTAGATTGAGTGGAAATTTTTAATTTTGTTTTGAAGGGACCCCTAGAAAGCGATTCGCCAATCGACTAACAACCAGGCTAATACTTACTGCTAGCTAAACAGAGACGTGTGGAGTTAAGAAACTTGCCTAAGGTTTCACCCTGCCCGAAAATCGAACACGGGTTTTCGCTTGCGAGGCGAGTGCTCTAACCAATGTGCTACAAGACTCCTACAGACTGCCACAAAGTGAACGAGCAACCAATAATAATAATTTGGTAACTCCTTCCACGACTGTTTGTGGGACGCTGCTGTGCGCAATTGGCTGCCGAGTTTCACCCAGAAAAATACACAGTCAATTCACTTTACAGTATATTCCGCGAAGCGCCTTGAGACGTCTTGAAGACGTGATAAGGCGCTGTATCCAATGCAAGGATTATTATTATTATTATCATATGGAGGATTGCAGACCAGGAGAACACGGGAATCTCCTTTCCTAGTGTCAAAGCGTTCACCTGAACAGGACACGTTGGGAGCCCTTCGGGTCAGCATTCGAAGCGATGACTGGCGTGCACCTTACCGTGTATTTTGTTGGGTGACAGAACGCTGGGCTGCAGGGGCAAGCTGCTGTGAGGTGTGATGGCGGTCACCGTGTGGGGCTGTGGGGTGCCGTACGCGTCCATCGCCAGCTTGTGACGGAACGCCTCTTCCTTCCTTCGGTTCGCAAACCAGTTGTAGACTCGCACCTCGGTGACCAGGTTGGAGCCCAGACCGTGAGCTTGTGATGGAGAGACGCCACGCTGCAGGCACTCGGCTCTGTGATGGATAAGAGATGAACGCAGTGGGTAAGGCAGAGCATCTATCAAAAGCCATCAACCGGGGCAGCCCAGATGGTGTAGTAGATAAAGCTGCTGTTTATTAGAATAACAATAATAGTAATCCTTGTTTCGATATAGCAGCTCATTATGTCTTCGAGACGTTTCAAAGCGCTTCACACAATATACTGTAAAGTGAATCGTCTGCGTATCTCGCGGGCAAAATGCGGCAGCCAATTGCGCACAGCAGCGTCTCAAAAACAGTTGTGGATTGAAGTGACCAAATTATTATTAGTGGTATTTGTTTTCAGGAGCTCATTGGTGTTGATAAAAATGTTGATTCTTTCGAAAGCAAATCAGTTCGATTTTCTTTTAGGAAACGTTTTCTTGGGATACAGTGTATAGATTGGGACATGGCATGCGACTGACATATTGTGGAAAGCGACCTTGTTCTGCTTTCGTCCAGCGATTCTTATTTCTTACGATTCTAGTCCAGATCCACACCGACCTAGCAGGTCTCAATCTTGGAGCTCCATGGGCAGACAACATTAGCCATTAGACAATAGATCTCTGTCCATTGACTGGAGGATTTCAAATGTGTTATGCAGTAGATTTGGACAGCAGAGGTCATTGTGTTGGCCAATGCACCGCTACACATTGGATGATGGGTTGGCCAGTGAATGAAGAGTTTCTCAAATCATTAGTTATTTTAGATCGAGACGCTGAATGTATTCGCCAGTGCGTTAGATGGAATCTCATGCATTATTTCATCAGATAGGGGGAGCGTGGTTTTTTGCTTTGTGTGCGCTACAACAACAACAATAACAAGATTCCATTTATTGAGCGCCTTTCACATCGGGAGGACGTCCCAAGGCACTGTACAGTTGGGTCAGGTGAAGGCACGGTCAAAGAGAAAGGTCTTGAGACCGGCCTTGACGGAGGAAAGGGAGGAGGCAAGGCGAAGGTACTGGGGGATAGAGTTCCAGAGCCAAGGGACTCTATGGTAACTATAATGATCCCGAAGGGCTCCCAATGTGTCCTGTTCAGGTGAACGCTTGACACCAGTTGGGAAAAGAAGGAAGATTCCTGTGTTCTCCTGGTCTGCAATCCTTCATATAATAATAATAATAATCCTTGCATTAGATATCGCGCTTTATCACGTTTTCGAGGCATCTCAAAGCGCTTCAGAGGATTGAAAATGACCAATTTTATCATTGTTTTTTGTTTTTTTGGAGGGATTATTATTAGGCTCTGTGTGGAGTAAGGAAACTTGCCCAAGGTTTCGCCCTGCCTGGAATACTGTAAAGTGAATTAACTGTATATTTTGTGGGTGAAACTACTTAGTTACTGCCCTTTACAGTATATCCTGCGAACGCTTTGAGGCATCCTGCAGATGTGAAAGGCGCTATATCAAATGTGAGTATTATTATTATTATTATTATCATTACCATTATTATAATGGAAAAATATGTTCCAAATGGGTTAAAGTCCATTATGAAAAGATTGCTACTCTAAGCAACCAACCAAATGAGAAAAAACAATGTCACCCCAATGCATTAATTCAGGCATGATAACTGGCAGAAAATTTGATTTAATTGTGCACTCCCACTTTGCTCTTCTTCTCAAGTTATTGACTCAAGCTGGGGTTTGGTCTCATAAATTCTGACTCTCCTCTGATAGACTCCAAGTGTGAGAGTCAGGACATTGAGTTTAGTGCTTTTTTTTTTGTTGGTCAGCCGGGTATCTGACACACACGGAAACCCATCATTGTGCTTAAAAAAAATAATAAATTGGTCATTTCAATCCACGACTGTTTGTGGGACGCTGCTGTGCGCAATTGGCTGCCGCATTTTGCCCACAAACGTACAGTCAATTCACGTTACAGTATATTCTGTGAAGCGCTTTGAGACGTCTAGAAGACATGAAAAGAGCTATATTAAATGCAAGTATTATTATTATTATTATTAAGAGCATCCAAACCAAACCAAACCAAGAATTCCATGCATCCCACTACACCTACACATGGAAATTCCAGAGGTAGATTGTTGGAATGGAATGCGCACTCTCTCTCTCTCTCTCCCTGGAAGGACGCATCCCGCTTACCTAATTCCGGAGAGTATTAGGCGCAGGTTGGGGACCCAAGAGTGTGCGTTAGGGTAACTGCTGGAGTTAGAGCATCAGAGTCGAACCTTATCCTGTCTCCTTCCCCCTCCCCACCACCCCCCACATCATCCACGCTCACGCACTTCCCAGCAAGGGTGGGGGAGTCACTGAATACTAGTCGGGAAACAAAAACCTTGCTGATTTCCCTCTTGCCCTAGCCCAGGGACACTGAGGACAAACATAAGACCCTATTGCTGCCCTGGCTGCTCAGCAAGACCGGTGATCGTATCTGGAATGCCCAGGATCACTTGGGCTCCCTAACACACTGTGCAGAGAATATTAAGAGACGGTACATTAAGAAACTCTGCAATTTTTAATAATTAGATTTATTTTTCGAGGAATGCTTCCTGTATAATCTGGTCCTCCATCCATTATTTATAATGTTCCTGCTGTATGTATCCTCAGGGGGAGGAGGGGAGGGGGGAGGCGGAAATCAGAGTTCAGGTGAAGGACAGGCTTAATAGGATGTTTAACTATTAAAATAAAGGGACTCATGTTACACAGTGCAGCATGATAATAATTTATGTCACGTCAATCCACGACTGTTTGTACCGAAATTGGCTGCCGCATTTCACCCACAAAATATACACGGACAATTCACTCTACAGTAGATTCTGTGAAATGCTTTGAGATGTCTCGAAGATGTGATAAGGCGCTGTATCAAATGCAAAGGTTATTATTGTTATTTTTATGAGATGTCCCTTGTCACAATCAGCAATTTTAATATGATTTAATCAAGGGATCCTGAGTAAATACAGTAACTGCTGTCTCTTCCAGCTAGGATCACCGCCCCAGCCTCACCTTACCTTATCTCCTCCCTGACTTTCCTGCAACCTTCCTGCCCCAACCATTCCCTTCACGTAGCAAACCCCGGCATTTAATGTCCTCTCTCAATCTGCCCCTGCATCGTTGGGGCAATCAGCCACTCTGTCCTCCCTCTCATAAGAACATGTAAGATTTTGCTCGGCGAAAAGAAGTACTAGTAGTTTGCCTTCCACCATCCTGGCAGTCATTTGACATGTCGTGTTGACAAACTATACACTGTATCCCAAGATATTATTTTCTAGCAGAAATCTATCTAATTTGTTCTTGAAACAAACAACGATTTCTGCTTCCACTGACTCCCTAGGGAGCCTGTTCCGTAAGTTTACCGCTCGCCAACTGAAGTAGCGTATCCACAGGTTTGTTCCGAATTTACCTCCCTTCAATCGCAGGCCGTGTCCTCTGGCTCTCCCGTGTCCTCTGACTCTGACCCTCCATCCCAGTGATTTTCTGCCTCGCCCCCTCACTCCACACCTTCAAAGGCCACCTTAAGACCTTTTTTTTCGACCTCGCTTTCCCCCACCCGCCTCATTTACCCCCAACCCCTAGTCAGCTGTTCTTCCCGACAAGAAAGGCGTTGTAAGAGATATAAACTGTTGTTGTTATGGTAGGACTAAGTCTTACTTACATAGAGTTACATGGTGTGCGACACAGCACGGAAGCAAGCCATTTGGCCCGACCAGTCCATCCCTGTGTTTATATAGACACGAGCCTCCAGCCCTCCTATTCCCCTTATTCCCCTTCTTTTCCCTTCTCCCTCATGAACGCTGCTTGTTACACTGGCAAACACCACCGCATGTTAAGGATATCAAAGGCATTCCCTGCAGTGTGCTACCTCTGCTTAGCAAACATCATCTGAATCCTTCCATCTCCAATAACCATAGTGTGTGCTGCACACATCCCAACCATTCACGTCGTGTCACATGGAGCAATGGGTAACAGAAAATTGCTTACAGCACATTTTTGGAGAGAGAGGGGGAGGGAGAGTATGGTTTCGGGTTATTCTCAAAGTAGATTCATGCGCCCTGCCATAAGCCTCAACCCAATCTGATGAGGGGCTCATACTTAAGGCGCTCCGGGACTCTACCCCTTGTGAAGGGTGCTATGTAAATGCAAGTTGTTCTTGTTGTTGTTGTTGTATACTTCAATGGTCACTACCTGGTCATTTTTGATTCGCTGACGGATTTTAACAGGCAAATTCACCATCCAGCCAAGCCTGAGTTATGAATAGAACCTAAAGGAGGCATTATTGATCAGTGCTTTACTTTCACAAGGCGTGATAGCTCTCAGTATCTATGACACACTTTATCCAGAGGATTCATTTCCCAATTAATTTGAAAGATACTAAAATGACAAAGGTTCAAAAGTAATCCATCCAAAGAGTCTTCAAGCCTGGTGTTTGCCTAGCAGTAAGTAGGAACCCGGTTGTTAGTCGATTGGCGGTAATAATCGCTTCCCAAAAAAAAATTATAACAATTTGGCCGCTCAATCCACGACTGTTTGTTGGACGCTGCTGTTGAAAACACCTCAAAGCGCTTCAGATAATATATTGTAAAGTGGATTGACTGTGTATTTGTGGACCAAACGTGGCAGTCTATTATGCACAGCAGTGTCCCACAAATATTTGCAGCCAATGTTTTTTTGAAGGGATCATTATCCCCGAAAAGTGATCCATCAGTCGACTAAAAACCGGGTTCCTATTTACTGCTAGGTTGTAAACAGAGTGGTTTTGAGTAAGGAAACTTGCCTAATATTATTATTATTATTACTTGCCTAAGGTTTCGCCCCGCCCGGGAATCGAAACCGGGTCCTCTTGCTTGCGAGGTGAGCGCTCTAACTAATACGCTACAGATCAATACGCCACAGGACTTGTTATTGTTAGACGGGGCTCTGTTGTCAATTCACTTTACAGTACATTCCTGTGAAGTGCTTTGAGATGTCTCGAAGATGTGATAAGGCGCTAATATCAAGCGCAAGGATCGTTATTATTATTTCACAACGTTTGTTCTCCTGACGCCCAGTTGACTGACCTGTTGCACTCTTCCACCAATGCCTCTCGCTCTTCCTTGCTCGGATTCTTCTGCCGCTCGTAAGCCTGAAATAAGATTTGCTGCGAGGCCGGCCCCCATTTGAACCTGTTTCGCCTCATCTTCTTGTTGGTCGGCTCCTCCGCTTCCTCCCCTGAAGCTCCCTGGCTCGTGCTGTTGAAATCTGCAAAGAGAAATAGCTGCTGTCTGTTTTCTGGCACAGTTTGCCCTGCTTTCTGCGATGGTTGGCTGAATTCTGCAAAAAAAATGTAAGATACAAAAAGAATAGGTTCAAACTAAAAATGAACAGGCGATTATCAGGGAAGTGAAGTTAGCTGGTGAAAACGGATGTTGCATTGCATTGGGTTAAAATGGTCACCATTTTTATCTTAACCCACTGTAGATAGATAACCTGCCTATCCGTTTGGAGAAGATAGTATTTAGTTCGGGTTGAAAGCAGCAGCCAGCAATCATCTCGTCACCGACACAGTCAGGATGAGGAACGTATCATATAGGCAGTCATGTCATGAATGCACTGGACCATTGCACATATGACTAGAAACTCAGGACTCTCTTGTCGTCAAGACAGTGACCGTCACAGTTACTGTCCTCCTAACCTCTGGAATTCCATCCTTTCTACTGTCCCCACCCTCCACCCCCCACCCAGCACCCCCCCCCCACTCCTTTTAGATGGTGCTCTCGGCCATCTTTTCACCCCCACCCCCCCACCCCACCTTGCCCTGCACCCCGATCCCAACCCGCAGCTCGAGTGCAAACCTCTCATTGTCCAGCACCTTTGGATGTCCTCCCAATGTGAAAGGTGCTTTATAAACACAATTTATTGGTGTCTTTGTTGTACCTCTTCAACTGCGCCTACAGTCACCTCTTCCCTCTCCCTTCTCCCCTTGTTTGGAACCTGACCCCATCATCGTGAAGCACTCTGAGGGTATATCACTCCTTGAAAGGGCGCTATGTTAATACAGGTTATGGTTGTCGCTGAAAGACATCCACAAGCTGAGCAGCAAGTCCTAACAATGATGATTTAGTTTCTCTACGAACGAAAGAGTCTGAAGGAAGTGCATTTTATTGGACTTCCTTTTTACAAAGACTCGTTTTGAATTCCTACACAGCGTTGGAAGTCATTCTAAAAGAATCAAACATGAATTCCTATCAACGTATCTTATTACTTTTTTGACAGTCACCATCTCCATCACTGTTCCATCTCAAGTTAACAGTAATTATTTTTCAAGACCGTTGCTGTTCGCAAGTTGCTTCACTTCTGGTCTCAAGTTAAATTGAGCAAATCTGGGGTGACCTGATCATGAGAGACAATGACTTTGGTGTCCCAAAACCCTAGTGAGACTGCCTTAAAGGTCGACCGGTTGGTCATAAGAGATTGCAGTCACGGGTTTCAATTCCATGCTCATGTGGTTGTGAACTTAGGGACAGGAGTGGGCCATTCAGCCCCTCGAGCCTGTTCCGCCATTCCTTTAGATCATGGCTGATTTGTAGCTCAACTCCAAGTCCAATTGAAAATATATTACCAAGGTAACGCAGGCCATTTGCTTTCATGAACATAAGAACATGAGACCATAAGAAATGCTAGACAACAACAACAAAATTACATTTGTAAACAAGAAAAGACCAAGGTCCATTTGGTTTGCCTTCCACCTTCCTGGTGGTCGCATGCACGCATGTCCCAAACTTCCTATGTACTATATCCCGTAATATTATTTCCTAAAAGAAAACTGTCTAATCTGTGTTTGAAGTAATCAACACTTCCTGCTTCCATCGTCTCCCTAGGGAGCCTGTTCCACAGGTTCACTATTCGCTCCCTGAAATAATGTTTGCATAGATTCGTTCTGAATTTACCCCCCTTCAATGCATTCCACGTTTTATAGGGATCAGAGGATTTTAAGATGTACACGTGAATTACGCAATGTCATTTCGCTCACTCAAGGGAACATTCACAAAACAGCAGGGTTTACGACTGAGATTAATCTGACCGGGATTTGCTGTGTAATCCACTCTGAAAAATATTATATTTGTGATTGAATACAGCGGATCCATTTTTCTTAAGTCAAATCCTGTTTGCCTTGGATATATAGCACTTTAAAATGGATTTTGGTAATACTATTATGAACTGCAATTGGTGATGTACAACAACAACAACAACAACAAATTCTGTTTAGATAACTCCTTTCACATCGGGAGAACGTGACAAAGCTCTGAAAAGAGGTTTAAGGAACTGTGGTTGACTGAAATCCTAATAATAATGATCCTTGCATTTGATATAGCGCCTTATCACGTCGATGAGACGTCTCAAAGTGCTTCACGGAATACACCGTAAAGCGAATTGACTGTATATTTTCTGGGTGAAACGAAGCAGCTAATTGCGCGCAGTAGTGTCCCACAAACAATCGTGGATTGAGCGAGCAAATTATTTTTATTCATTTTTTTTGAAGGGAACATTACCCCTGAAAAAGTGATCCGCCAATCAACCAACAATTTATATAAATTATAACTTAGATACTTACGCTGTACTATTTCTCTCTGTTTCCGGACGTACCAGGTGTACAGAGCAGCTCGTTTCTGGTTCTTCATAGGTGTGCCCTTGTTGAGATGCTGGGAGAGGTGAGACTGGTTGAGACCTGTGGTGTCTACCACCTCCCGTTGGGGAATATTGTGCTGTTGCATGTAGCACTTTATCATCTTGGCCGCTCTCCATGGATCTTCTCTGTGAAGACATCAGGTTAGAGATAATAATACTAATAATAATCCTTGCGTTTGATAGAGCGCCTTATCATGTCTTCGAGACAGCTCAAAGCGCTGTTTGGGTTCGAAACATTTCCAAACGTAAAATAAATAATAATAATAATAATCCGCGCATTTGATATAGCGCCTTAGCATGTCGTTGAAAGCACCTCACAGAATATTCTCTCAAGTGAATTGACTGTATGTTTTCCGGGCGAAACAGGGCAGCCAATTGCGCACAGCAGTGTCCCACAAACTGCCGTGACCAAATTAATTACTTATTTATTTATTCATTGCAATTTATTTTGAGGTATACAGTTCCAGTGGGAATGAATGGCAAGCTTACACCACCTTTTCGCTCTGCTGGATGTGATCTGACTATAAAAAAGGTAAAATAATAAAAACAAGAGGAATCAGCGATATTTACTGCAGTTTAAACAATAATGTTTACATTTTTAATTAGTGAGGCATGAAATATTTTGTTTCAATTGGATTCAACAATGACGCAGTTGTATCGCTCATTCCTCTCGTCCTTTTGAATGTGCAAAGTTCTAAGTCAGAAGATTTTATGGGTTCAAGTCCCACATCACGACTGTGAACTTGTACAATAATAATAATCCTTGCATTTGATATAGCACCTTATCACATCATGTAGTGTAGTGACTGTGTATTATATGGGAGAAATAGTCTAAGATGACACTCTAATACATTGCTGGGGGGAAGCGTTGCATTATCAGAGGTGCCATCCTTCGAATGTGAGGTGAAACCAAAGTCCCAGCGAGACCTGTTAAAGATCACAATGCAAAATATGCAGTCAATTCACTTTACAGTATATCCCGTTACGCGCTTTGAGACTTGTTGATGACGTGATGAGGGCTATATGAATTGCAAGGATTATTATTATATTATTATTATTCTTATTTCTGGGTATGGTCAGCTGTCAAGAAAAAATATTTCTGGGAAGAATCATTGCTCTTCAGCCTTCCTTTTTACCAATAGATACAGTTGCTCTCGATTGAGATGTCACGAGTAATAAAACCAGCTGTTAACATCTCCACTGTGAAGATAGCCACCTATAGCTTTGCACATTGGCTCTCTGGGGCTTTTCATAATATCTCTATGCTGTGATAGGCACAGCGTATAATAAAGCCCATTAAAGAAAGGCACCATTAGGGAAAAGGGAAAGCTTTGCTGAATTTCTGCGCTTGCATGCAATTAACTTGAACAATTAAAATCTTTGGCCCGGGCAATAGTTCAGCTGACGTTTGGATTTTTATAAATCTGGTCTGTAATTGTGTCTCGATGATTCGGGGCAACCAGACGGAGACTTCTCTTTCTCCTCCCTGGAGACATTAAATATTCCTGAAACTGCAGTTCCGCACGGCGACCTCAATGATAAGACTAAGTGCTACGGTTGGTTAAAGTGCTTAATCTCCCTGGATGTACTTCAGATCTCAGCCCAGGGAGAGTGTCTCAGTCTGAAGTTGGTGCACACCAAGCAAGATATGACTGAGGCCATAAAGTACTTGAGAAACGGTTCTTTTTCAGGAAATATTTGCAGGGATTTGTTAGTGCGTTATTAGCGTGGAGAACAAGAGAGTTTGTTTGTATTCAATATCCGCAGGAGACGTTGAACCGAGGTCCCGTCTGCCTGTTCAGGTGGACGTTAAAGATCCCATGGCACTTATTTGAAAAGAGAAGGGAGTTTCTCTCTCCTGGTGTCCTGGCCAACAATCCCCCAAATAAAATTGGTCACTCAATTCACGACTGTTTGTGGGACGCTGCTGTGTGTAACTGGCTGCCGAGATTCCTCCACAAAATAGACAGTCACTCCACCTTACAGTGTATCTTGTGAGACATCTGAATGACGTGATAATACACAGTCACTCCACTTTACAGTGTATCCTGTGAGACACCTCAATGACCCTGTATCAAACGTAAGGATTATTATTACTATAAGCATACCCAGATCAGGAATAGAACTGTCAGCTACAGGGTAAAGCTTCCTCCACTGTATCCTTAATAAAAAATTCCTGTAACCCTTACATTTAATATAGCACCTTTCACGTTGGGAGGACATCTTAAGGCGCTTCAAAGGAACACACTGTGAGGTATATTTTGTGGGTGAACGCAGCATCCAATTTGCGCACGGCAATGTCCTACATCCGAAGACTGCACTGGAGGGATTGAGGCAGGGAGGAACCTTGCGAGGGGAATACCAATGGATTTTTAGACGTCTGTTGTGAAGTTTTACAGTCAGCTGGGTGGACACCCAGCCAACACTTTTATAACCTCAACCGATGTGTGAAATGTTTGCCGAGTTGACAACCACAACATGATACAAAATGACATTTGTAAAGCGCTTTTCACATTGCGAGGACGTCCCTGGGAAAACCAGTGCTGCTTGGGTTGGAAACATTTCCCAACTAAAATAGTCATCATGCAAAGCTCTGCCAGCTTCCAAGGTCTATTGTATGAGTCTGTGAAGGTGCGCTATGTTTGCTAAATCTGCAATACAGTGTTTAAATACAACGGGACACTTTATTACTGTTTCAGGACAGAGGTATTAGAATCCTATGGGTGAAGCAAAATGCATCAATGTACTTAAGTAATATAAACACCGGAATTGACTTGTTGGGTCGAATAGACTGTTTCTATGCCTTACCTCTCTATGTAACTCCATGTAGCTCTACATACCTCTAGGTATCTGTCAGTAGCTCCATGCAATCTGACAGAGACATAACACATTCTCTATCAATACTGACAGAGGACGTGTTTCAGGAGTGATGTCTTGACCAAACAATAAGTCAGGAGGTGCACAGTAAAATGGCAGTGAGTGCAAATATGTGAGATGAGTTTCACCTACGTTTCAGCCGCAAAATATACAGTAAATTCACTTTACAGTATATTCTGCGAAGCGCTTTGAACGTCTCAACAAAGTGATAAGGCGCTATATCAAATGCAAGGATTATTATTATTATTATTATTAGGGGGAGAGATGATTTCTGAAAATGAGACCACACTGCAATAGTCTTTTTTTGGGTGGGGTGGAGGGAGGGCAAATTGTTAATTATCTTTTTTTCCTGCAGCAAAACACATTGTTGCTGTTAATTATATCATTCAAACCAGTGTAAATGTGGTTAATGGTTACCTCGAGCTACATAAAATGATCACTGTATTAAAATCGTAAAGACATGAATATAATGGGATTTAATAAACTCAAACGGGTTTCCACACATAAAGAATTAGCAGAAAAGATATGCTCGTTTTAGCAGTCAGCTTATGTTAGACCCTAACGTCTCATTTGGATGAAAGAGACATGATTTTTGTACGTTTCGTTTATGTACATGTTTAGATTTGAGATCTTCGATATGATTTGAGTGGAGTGATTGTATATTCAATCCCACAACCAGCCACAGCATGAGTGTCCAATCCTTTATTTGGGGTGATTGTTGCCCAAGGACATCGAGACATCTCAAAGCGCTTCACAGAATATATTGTAAAGTGGATTGATTATTATTGTTGTTATTAAATGGATATTGATACCTCACGTGAGGGTTACAATATTACTGGTTAATGTTGTCTCAGACTATCCCAGTTCCCTTCATGTGAACTCCAGTTTCCCTCAGTCCCCTGCTGTGTAAGCACTCACTTAGCTTTGGTAAGATGATAAATAATGCACGTGCACAGATACATTTGATGATGCACATGACATTCTCAGAGCAGGTTCAATACTAGCGAAGCTTCAAGCAAATAATATTGTACGTAACAAACCCACAGACCCAGCAGCTGAACATTTTACTAGAATTATGCTTCCAGGTTTACATGGGTTCATACTGTACATTGTTCCTCATTAGAATAGGGAGGACGTCCTCCCTACGTGAAAGGCGCTCTATAAATGGAATCTTGTTGTTGTTGTTGTAAGAATGGACTCAATACATTACTGGGAAGGATAGTCAAGGGGCCAGGATATTGGACTTGTTAAGAAACAGCTGTAAGACAACAGGACTGGTATTGTGGTTGGGTGAGATCGAGTAATAATAATAATCCTTACATTTGGTACAGTGTCTTTCACGTCATGGGGACGTCCCAAAGTGCTTCACAGGATATACTGTATCTTTTAATGGCTGTGTATTGGTAGGCGAATGTGGCAGCTAATTTGCACACAGCAAAATCCCACAAAGCCTTGAAGTGAATCACCTGTTTTATTTTGGGGGGGAAATGTTGGCCAGGACACCGGGCAAAACTCCCTTCTCTTTCCAATAGCCCTGCGGGATCTTTAACATCCACCGGAGCAGGCAGGCTGGGCCTCTGTTTAACGTCTCACCTGAAGGACAGCACCTCCATTAATGCACACACACCCCAGCTCTGCACCAGAGATTCAGCCCAAATCATATGAGTTGAAGTCCTGGTGTGTGGCTCGAACCCACAAAGCCCCTGACCCATAATAATAACAATAATAATCCCGGCATTTGACGTAGCGCCTTATCACGTCTTCGAGACGTCTCAAAGCGCTTCACAGAATACACTGTAAAGTGAATTGACTGTATATTTTGCCAGCTTGATTTGTAGGCAGCAGAAAGGTGAAGTTGCCCTTCACAATGTTTCACTGGTGGCAAGGTGGAGTTGGCCAATTTGTTTGATTGCCTTTTGAATTGGGAACCACTGCATTGATTCACAGTGGAAGTGTTTATTTTAGTAACTAGGTTAGCAATGGGAAAAAAAACAGCCAGTTCCAATAACTGATTGCTATCGACCTGACCCTTATTACCCCTTACCCCCCACTGAAATATGTGGTTATGATTGGACCAGAGTATTACCACCCACTAACTCCCAGATGGTTGAATAGCCTCCCGACAGTCAATGTCAATACTCACACATTGAATAGTGACACCTGGGAAAAGATATTCCTCTACTTTAGCCACTGCATATCCTCTGGCAGATATAGACGCTGCCTTCTCCTTTCACTTGGCATCTCAATGCTTTGAATAATTCATCTCTCGTATGAATTATTTAAAGCAACATTTCCTTGTCGTCGATGGGACATCGCTGCCACGACACTCACCATAATTTGAAAGCAGGCTTTAAGGATGATTCCACCAAAGTAAGATGACTTACTTTGGTTGCTACAGTTTGCAGTAAATCTCACATAAGTCGTATCAGTTAGGACCACACATTTAATATGACTCATGCAAAGCATTCAAACCACTTCATGCCCTCGCACCTCCCTACTTCTCCGACCTGCTTACCTCCCACCACCCGCTGCCTCTGCTCGACTGGCTCCGGCCTCCTGTTTATCCCTCGCCACCTCCGTTCTACCATTGGTGGCCGTGTCATCAGTCACTACACCTCGAAACTCTGGAACACTCTCCCTCAATCCCTCCGCCTTGTCTCCTCTCTCCCCACCATCAATTCCTGCCTAAAGACCTTCCTGTGTGGTCGTGCTTTCGGTCACCTCACCCCCTCCCTCTCCGCGTGGCTCGTTGTCAGACTCTACCACTGTCAAGCGCTCCGAGACCCTACCCCGCGTGAAGGGCGTTATATAAATGCAAGTTGGCGGATCGCTTTTCCGGGGGTAATAAACCCTTCAAAAATAAATAAATGATAATTTGGTCACTCAACCCATGACTGTTTGTGGGGACACTGCTATGCGCCATTGACTGCCACATTTCGTCCACAAAATATACAGTCAATTTACTTTACAGTATATTCTGTGAAGCGCTTTGAGACAGTCTCGAAGACGTGATAAGGCGCTATATCAAATGCAAGGATTATTATCATTATTATTATAATAATACCAACCCTATTGTCCTCTCATCCCAACTATAAGAGATCGACGCATTTCTGCTTCATAGGTAATCTTCACCCACGTGGTTCGAACCTTTCCTTTCACAATCTAATCTTCAATGGCTTTCTTTTTATTGCCGCTTCGAACTGGTGTTTCACAATGTAATTACATGGGCGAGCAAATAAACCACCCCTGCTCCCCGCACTGCCACATCAATACACCTCCCAAGACATAAGCGCCATGTCCTTGTTTGCCATTTTAGGATCTTATTCACCAGCTCTCAAGCCCAAATTTAAAATCTCCCGTGCGTCTCCTATAGCTAAGTGGAGAGATGGGGTTAAAAGCATTGAAATGGCCCATAATTGAGACTTTAGTACATTTACTTTCCTGTTTGCAAGAAAAGTCAACAGGCACAGAGTTTTTAAGGTCAGTTTCTTTGACGATCTGGGAACTTCACCATGGATTATCCAAATCAACCGGCATTTCTGTCGAAGTGAATAAATATTTTGTCGGCTTTCACAAAAGGCAAACTGTCGGAATCGGACTGCAATTTTCCAAGCATTTCACTTTTTTAAAAAAAAAATGAAAACTGTTTCGCTCAGACGAAACTGAGTTCATCCCGAACTACTTTTTTATTGAACGCTTTGGGGGTTGAGCAACAGGTTAAAGTGATAAAAACTTCCACACGGAGCAAAGTCCAGGTGCCTTCGGAACAAACAAGTGCTCCTTTCCACCTATTTTGGAGGGTTTAGGAAACTCCATTTTCTCTCTCCTCGCAATCCTCCTGCTTTCATTCCCAACTCGGTGATATTTTTTCCTTTGGGTCGTCCCCTCTCTCGTCTCCTTGGTATTCAATAACCACACTTGGTTAGACATAAACCTGATTCTCATCGGTTTTAAAGGAGAGCTGGGTTGATTATTTATAGCGCTATATTAATGTAAAGTCTAAGTAAACAATTTGACACAGCCAATTAACATACAACTTGTATTTAAGGGCTCGGGACGCCATGATACTCACTTTCCTTTGAATATGAAATAAAGAAAATCTAATCTTTCCACAACTTTGGTCACTCATCTGTCCCAATTTCTGTCAATACATATTTAGTTCAGTGCAACTGTAAACCAAATACAATCAAGAAACTATTTGGATGTTGTTGACTTCTTCACAATGTACAGTAGTTTTAATCTTTGAAACGTTGTGTTTCAGATTCATTCCAGGTTTTTTTTTGTCTGTGTGTGTGTGTTGGAAATTGTTTGCAATTTGGGATTGTTTCATATTATGATTCCAGCAAGGCATCAGTTTCCAAATCACCATGAAAAAGGTAAAAGACAGGTTTTTAAGTATAAAAGTTTAAACATTTTGCAAATGTTAGGTGACATTTACATGTGAAACTCTCGGTTGGCGTTGGATATTGTTTAAGCGTGGTGATAGGTTTTTGCAGGTGTCAGACACCCACTGACCTAAAAACAATCCAATATTATGTTCTATGTTAAATCTTGTTAAATTTTGCTTGTAAACTTGAGTCAGTTTAATCAGATATCAATCATGCGAATATCAATAATACAATAATACGAAAATCCCAAATGTTGAATAAAAAGAAGTAAGTTGGGGGAACAAGTCAATTGTGTTTTATATTAACAAATGTTGCTATAAGACACCAATTTATGTTAGCATTTATTCAGTAACTTTAGCCAGCCACCCCAGTAGGAATCCAATTGAAAAACGTGCTGATAAACTGTACACTTTGAAGTTTAATTAACTTATAAGTTGAAATTGCAAAGTGCTTAGTTGCTTCTGAGAAGCTTCTGAAAAGTTGAAACAATTCAACTTTATCCAACTAAGTTGGTTGGAATTATAATAATAATAAAAATCCTTACATTTGATATAGCGCCATTGAGTCTTCTCAAAGAGCTTCACTGAATATATTGTAAAGTGAATTGACTGCGTATTTTTTGGGCGAAACGGCAAAAATAGGAGCAGGATGAGTAACTGAGAGGCAGGAAACACCTCAAAGGATTAGGGGGGGAAAGAAGTGGAGAGTGGGATTAATATAAAAAAAAGACTGGCAGACATGATGTGCTGAAATTTTCTATGTATGTACAAAGCTGCTCTTGTCCACTTCAAAGACAATCTCATTCATAGGATATTGTGGTGACAACAATGCAGTCGAACATTTTTGATGTCTGCTCTGTTTAGAGAATTGAGAATTTGTCGGGAAAGCAATCGTGTCCGAATCGAAGAGGGGCAAACGCAACTTCCAATTAATTAATAACAGATTTAAATAAAAAGTAATCTAGGCCAGGCTCTTGGTATCTGTTGTATGTCAAGATAGGCGTGCGGCCCCAATGTATAACCAGTAGTTAATGATCAAATGTTAAACCAAAAGGATCGGCTAAACCATTTTACTTTATATTTTGCAAAAGAGATGAAATAACAATCTATTAGATAATTAGTAACTAGCTGTGGCATGCCTAGGCACAATGCAAGAGAGAGAAAGAGAAAGAGACAGACAGACAGAGAGCGAGACAGATTGCAAATTGTCAACTACACAGAGAATTGGCAGCCCACAGCTGAGGACATCAAGAAAAGGGAATTCAAAGAAAAGTTTGTACCACTTTTTGGAGAAGGGATTTGGTTATGTGTGTGGGGGTGGGAGGGGGAGGAAATATTTTTTTTTTTGCAATCGTTTTGGGGGATTTATTCTTAGATATTGTTTTGTAATCTTTTTTCCTCTCTGACCAGATCTGAGGGAGATCAAGAAAAAGGATTAAAAAGAAAAGTTTGAACCACTGTTTTTTTTGGGGGGGGAGTGGGGAGGAGGTGTCGTGGGGGTTTGAGGAGGATTTCTTCTGATATATATATGTATATATTGCAATCTTTTTTTCCTCTCTCTGAGCCACCCCGCAAAAAAAAAAGTTTTAGAGTCATTTATAAAAAAAAACTGCTCACTTTGGACGACTTGGGGAAAGGTGGGGAAATTTCTATATATTTTTTTCCAATCATTTGGGTGGGGGGAATTTCTTTTTGTATTTTTATTTTTTGGGGGGCAATCCTTATTTTTTTCTCTCTGCTCCCCCTATGTCTGTCTCTCTCTCTCTCTCTCTCTCTCTCACTCACACACGCACAGAGACACACACACAAAAAAAGTTTGTGGCTTTGCTTTCTTTTTAAAAAAAAGTTGTCTTACTGTAAGAGTTGCTCCACTATAGTTCTCTGTTGAGCAGCTTCTTCTGGGCTGAGGTTGTCCAGTTCTTTCAGAATAGCCGGAGTGTCATAGTCATCATCACCATCTTCTTCTGAGCTCTCCTCCCCTGACAGCCTGGCCGGGGGCAGCGGGTGATGGCCGTTCTGCAGCCCGTCTTTGGAGCTCCCATCGGCGGGGAGGATGGTGAGCGTCACCCCTTCCTCAGCTGAGCTCCCAGCCGGCTCATACTCTTCCAGTTCGCCCAAAGCTTCGACCAGGGTCTGTTTGCTCATCCCAGAACCTATCAGTGCCTTCACCAGCTCTTGTTGCAAAGGTGTCAACTTGCTTCCCATTTTTTTTTTCGGAAGGGTTTAGTTATTTGTTGTTGTTGTCCCCCCTTTCTCTCCCCCCCCCCCACCACCCACCCAAAAAAAAAGTTTTCCCCAAACTTCCCTACCCCCCCCAACCTCCCCCCCCCCCTTCCCTCCCCTCTGTCCCACACAAGATTTTTGTCTCAACCCCAACTCATTGAACGCTCTTGCTATTATTGTTATTTATCACTTGGTAAGATACACAGTAAATATTAATCACTCTGCAGTGACCCCACTCAGTATTTTTTTTCCAAAAAAAAACAAAACGCAAACAAACACACTCTCTCTCTCCATAAAATGCCCAAAACCACTATTTTCTGAACTAAAAGTGGACTGATTTTTGGTCAGGGTAAAAAGCTAACCTCCCTTATCTGTTTACATTTCAGCTGGCTTTCCTGGGTTCACATTTATCCATCCGCACCTCCACTTAAGATGAACTTTGGACCCAATATTCTGGTGTTGTTCAAAGTGCAAGGAATATGTTAAACACTAAAACACTACCTGGCACAAACAAATGGGGAGTGTGTGTGTGTGTGTCTGTGTGGGGGGGGGGGGGGGGTGGAGAAAAAGAAAGTATATGTCGCTGCTACTGAAGTGAAATAACCAAAGTTTGTTTTTCCTCCATTAAAAAAAAGGAAAAAGTTCACACACGAAACCTCCCAGCTCTAATCGTTCTTTTATTTGCAACTGTTGCTCGGTATTGATTCATGCTTTGCTAACGACTTTGCACAAGGCTTTACGCCACTCCAACGCTCACATATATACAAGTCATTTTCAGTTTTATTCTATTGTGTGCCTCCCTACCTTGCCCCCCCCTATAAAGCCTTGGAATCTGTATTGACTACTAATAAGGTGCGAGTTGTACTTTTGGGGGAAAAAAAGGCATCGTTACTCTTTTCAGGGACTTTTCGCTCAGTCTCTGTTCCTGGAACACACTGTGCTTAAAGCTCTTTCCATTGCTACCAAGAAGCTATAACCAACCTACTGGAGTGTGAATTATTATGGGTTGGTTTCTTCCCGAGGCTCTGAATGGATGGACAATAAAGGCTTGATTTGCGGCTTCAGCAGAGGGGCGTTAAGTAATAATAATAATAACCGTTGCATTTGATATAGCGCCTTATCACGGAGTTGGGATGTCCATCTCAAAGTGCTTCTGTTTTGTGGGCGAAATGCGCACAGCAATGTTCCACACGCAGCCATGGAGTGAGTGACCAATTTTATTTTGGGGAGATTGTTGGCCAGGACACCGGGAGAGAAAAACTCCCTTCTCTTTTTCGAATAATGCCGTGGGATCTTTAACATCCACCTGAATAGACAGACGGGACATCGGTTTAATCCGAATTTCGCTTTGCGCACAACAGTTTCCCACAAACAGTTGTGGATGAGTGACCACATTTTTTTCTGGAGGGATTATTACCCCTGGAAGGTGATCCACCAATCGACTAACAACCGGGTTCCTACTTACTGCTCAGTAAACAGAGGCGGGTTGAGTGAGGAAACTTGCATAAGGTTTCGCCCCGCCCGGGAATCGAACCCGGGTCCTCTCACTTACAAGGCGAGTGCTCTAACCAATACCCTACTGGACTCCTCCAATTTTAGGTATGGAATACCCTACGAGGATCCGTGCAGTTGAATGGAACCAAACAGAACTGTAGTCCGATCAGCATTCTTTTACTTACAGTGACATTTACATTTATACAGCACCTTTCACCTCAGCAAGATGCCTCAAAAGCTATTCAGAATGTAAATGATTGTCTTTGGTGATAAACTGTAGCATTTTCTGAAGTCCTGGATCCAGACACGAGAGGCTCACAATCTGTGACAGCCATCTGCACACAGGACCGTGTTTTCTCAAGGAGCAGAACATTGGTTTCAGAAACAACCTGCGCCCAATACTTTCAGGAATTAGGTAAGCAGGCTGCGTCCCTCCAGGGAGAGAAAGCGAGAGAGAGAGAGAGCTCATTCCATTCCAACAATCTATCTCTGGGATTTCCACGTGTAGGTGGGATGCATGGAATTCTCAGCTTGGTTTGGGTGCTCTTAAGAATGGTGATGGGCTTCCGCACGTGTCAGACACCCGGCTGGTCAAAAAAAACCAACAGCAACCCCTCACTGATTTAGTTACTTTCTGTGATATTCTGGTTGCCCAAAGGGTCTAGGCCAAATTTGATGAGCTGGTCTGCTATTGAGCTAGCCAGTCCTCCTAGTCTGCCTAGATGTCACTGCAAATCATTTGCCCAACTTACAGACTCAAATGGAGACTGCGATCAGGCAGGGAGTCCTACCTTATCTCTTTGGCTCAGTCAACATTTAGACACTCAGCTGCCATTTTGGTGTCACAGAAATCTCGAGCAAGCAGCCTACACATGAGCAGCAATTTCTCTCTCCATTCCTCCCCAGGCACTGAAATCGTTGAGGAACGTGTGTAACAACTTGGTCTAATAATAACGATAATAATAATAATAATAATCTTTGCATTTGATATAGCACCTTATCACATCACCAGGACATCTCAAAGCGCTTCACAGAATATTCTGTAAAATGAATTGACTGTATATGTTGTCGGCGCATAAAAATGTCCGATAAACAGTGGTAGATAGAATGAACAAATGATTAATTTTTTTTAAAGTGGTTATTATTCCCAGAAAGCGATTTGCCATTCGACTAGAAAATGGGTTCCCACTTACTGCTAGGTAAACAGAGGTGTGTGGAGTAAGGAAACTTGCCTAACGTTTCGTCCCACCCGGGAATCGAACGTGGGTCTTCTTGCTTGCGAGGCGAGTGCTCTAATCACAGAGCTAGAGGACTCCACTAATAATCAGCTGTTACTCAGTTACCACTAATAGTTACCCAGGAAATTGTGTGGATCTCCAGACAGAGACATTAGTGCACATGCCAGTGGATTCTGTGTTTTTGTGTAATTTTTGGGGAATACTTGATTACAATAGTAACCTTCCGAAGGGAATTGGATGTATACAGTACTTGAAAAGGAAAAATTGGCAAGATTATGGGGAAAGAGCGGGGGAGTGGGTAGCTCTTTCAAAGAGCCAGTACAGACATGATGGGCCGAATGGCCTCCTTCCTGTGCTGCAGGATTCTATGAGTCTTGGAGATACTGTGATCACGTGTTCACAAGGTCGTTAAGAAGACTAGTTATGCACAGCGATCTGGAGGAAATCAACAGTATTTATAGGCTGCAAACGATTTTAAATTGTACCGCAGATGATTTGAAACGGTAATTAGCACAGTTTCAAGCTGTGTTTTTTTTTAACATTTAGTAAACAACAACCACACACATCAGGAAAGAACAAAATGAACATTTCTCTCTTCCATATCTGTCTGCTTTGCCACCTGCAAATGTACTGCTTACCATAATAGTAATAATAATCCTTGAATTTGATATAGAGCCTTATCACGTCAACATGACGCCTCAAAGCGCTTCATAGAATATACTGTAAAGTGGAGTGACTGTGTATTTTTGTGAGCAAAATGATTAATAATAAATAATGCTTAACCATGTATAGAAGTTAGCAATCATTGAGCCCCAGTGACTAAGCCACCCCTTCCGCTCAATTTCTCCCTGAGCTCAAGCGTTCCGAGACACTGCCCCGTGTGAAGAACGCTATATAAATGCAAGTTGTTGTTGTTGTAGCTCGGGCTTTTCAGTCTTGAAATGAGGTATCTCAGATTGGACCTTATAAAGGAATATTACATTTTAAATGGGATTGAAAAAATAAACCCAGAACTATATTTTCCGATGCACCGAGACAGTAGGACCAGAAGACATGGGTTTAGAGTGGCAAAAGGGTAATTTCAGGACAAATATCAGGAAATATTTGCCCAGAGGGATATTGCTGTGAAGGGCTTTGAGACAGCTGTATGATGTGATAAGGCGCTATATCAAATGCAAGGATTATTATTAGTATTATAATTAACAACTGGAACAGTTTGCTAGGAAGGATGGTTGAGGCCAGGATGATGGATTTATTTTCTAATCAACTTGACGCTGTGATGGGAGGACAGTATAATGGATGTTCTGGAAGGATGAGATCAAGTGGGACAAAGAACCTGCTTCATCAAAACCAATCGTGTGATCTTGTGAACTTGTGATTTTTGTCCTTTATTCCATTCCTATCAATGTTTTTCAGTTCTCTCCTAATAATAACAATAATAATAATGATGATCCTTATGATGTATCTCCTTATCATGTCGTTGAGACGTCTCAAAGCGCTTCGCAGAATATATTGTAAAGTGGATTGGCTGTGTATTTTGTGGGCGAAATGTTTTTAAACCTGTGATCTCTTGTCATTCACACATACCCACCTTGTTAATTTGTCTGTTCATCATCTACTCAGGTTAAAGAAGCAATGACACGATTTGAAAAGATTCTCCCATGTCCTTGCCAACAGATAAATTGGTCATTCACCTCCTGACTGTTTGTGGGACGTTGCTGTGCACAAATTGGCTATTATGCCTCACACTTAATTACTGTAAAGTGCTTTGAGACATTATAGTATGTGTATCAGATGCAAGGATCATTCATTATTTATTTCTAAAGAGCTAAGAAACACTGACAGGAATGAAATGAGGAGACGTGTAAGGATTTGAGGGAAAGGTCACTGGGGCCCAGTTGTGAGTCAGTTGCCATTAATCCCAATAATAGAAGAAATCTAAACAAGAGAAGGTTATTGTTAAAAAGTGTCAGTCACATTCTGCACAAGAACATGAATTAAATTACCTGGGGGAAGCCAGAATGTCGAGTTGCTAATTAGACAGAAATTCTGATTCAATGTTTATTATTAGTTTTTGGCACAAGACTTATTATTTTATTATTATCATTAAACAGATGGCAGTCAGGAACCCTGTTCCCTTGTGTCATTTTCCTTGTAGTGGTATTAATATCCCACAGGAATTGGTACGACTTGCTACAGAATCTCTGTAGTGGTCGAGCAGCTGTGTGAGATGAGAAGCGTCTCTTCTGCGTTATTTTTCATGCTCAGCCTGTCATCACCTATACAGCTTACACAAGCTTTTCCA